TTTCCTACATCTGTATACATAGGCAGCGTACGCATCGCGATAAGAGACATAAAAAACGAAAAATAATCTTCGTACGCAGATCGGAGCGGCGCATGTAAGAGCGAAGGAGAAAAAAAAATTATTATCAAGGAAGAAACGTTCGAGTCGTGCCCGTGGTAGAGTATGCAAAGATTTTTTTTATCCTCTCGCGCAGCAGCAGCAGCATCAGCACATCGCGACATTTATTTTTGCAGTTTTTGTCAATCCAAGGCAACTCGCGCGGAATGGAATTATGCCGCGGCGGCGCGTTATGTGCTATATAAACACATGCATCGTCGATTCATCAACTTTTTTTCGTCCTTCTCGCGAGCGCGCAAAGCAAAGCCCGGCCGCTGCACGAATATAAAAAAAGGAAGGAAAAAAAAGCGCGCACGCGCTTGTATAATGGAAAAATCTCACGAATTTATTATCCTACGCAATATATATACGCGCGCGAGAAAAAACATTCGGTCGTATATTCACATCTTCCAAGTATAATGCTATATGGAACTGTTTCGCGGCGAGCCGCTGAACTTTACAATAATTTTTTTCGCATATATCATGCGAATAAGCTCGTGCAAAAAAGTATATATACATGTGTGTGCGTGTATGTTGTTCCGCGATCGTCCTTCACTGTGGCTCGTGATTTTCCCGCAATCGCGAAAAACTTTATTAAACTCTCGTTGTTCTAATTGTCCGAGGTAAATCGTTTAATCGTTTTATTATATCGCGCGTAATCGATCCGAAACTGAGACGAGAAAAAAATAACCAATAAAACACAGCTCATATTATCGCATATATCGAAGCCAGAACGCAATCGCGCAGGGGATAATTTGTATTACGAGCAAAGAGATTTTTAATGATCACTTTTTTTGTTGCTCTCCGAAGAAGGAGAAGAAGAAAAAAAGAGCGACGCTATTTTTGCTCGCGAGACACGTACACGAACGAGCCGTGTGCCGTCATTCGGAAACATTTATATTATAACTTGTGTGGATGTTCGAACTCACTCAATTTTTCATAAATAAACGTATCCCCTCGAAGCAATCCTTCCCAGCGGTACCTGCTGAAGAAGCGATCTGCCCTCGGTACCATCCTCTCGCCCATACAGCTCGTAACTGCGCAGCTATTATGCGTACCTTATCACCTATGAAAACTCACATTCGCTAGCTCAAAAGTACACACAGACACCTTCGCAGCAATATAACGACTTGGATGATACTAATACCGGACTGATCGTGTATAATGGCCTTTTTTTTGGTCGACGGCTCGCGTGTACCGAGAGTCCCATTGCGGCACTGGTGCTGATCTAGCGAAAATGCACCTCTGCAATCGAGCGGCGCGCGGGCCGGTCGTGTTTCGTCAATGCGATGATCGCTTCGCGCGCTCAACGCGATACACGTATGATATTTTAAATAGTAGACATTGCACTTAATTACGATAAATAATAAATATATATATAATTGCATCACATCGGTTTGCGGCGCGATCGCGTACAAGGCGCGCGAGCGGCGATATCGCAACGTAATTTCGCCTCGTGAAAGTCCATTTGCAGCCCATTGTTTATGCGCGAGCCGTAAAGTAGCTAATTAACGCTATAAAAATCTATGAAACAAAAAAAAATAACCATCGCGAGCTCGTGTATTATACGTACACATTAGCACCTTTTCATTGATGCATAGAACAATATACGGCCGTATACGATTTACGCGTCCCCGAAAAGAGCTCATCGCTAATATTATGCGACTCTCTGCTATATAGTGGCTAGTGATTAATGTCTACGTTCGAGTGTCTTCATTTTTTTATCGTTGCTACTTTTTTTCAAGGAAAATGCAGAGAATCGCGTACCATTGGAGATGCAGGATACTCGAATGGCACACGTATGCACGCCTGAAAAGAAGACAGACCGATTGAAATATTGGGAATTACGTCACGATCATCTCTCTGTGTCGCACGGCGAGTATACTTATTTACGCACGAACAAATTTGAGAAAGGTAGCCAAGATGAAAAAAACGACCCCCGCGATCGCAATACAGGCGTGAATGATGCGCGAAGCTGCTGCGATCGTCATTTTGCGGTGTGAATAGACGCGCGAACGACGTGCGTAATAATCTCGATCTCTCTCGCTGTCCCGAAAGCGCACATCGTAATGCGTATATATAAAATTAAAAATTCAACCTTGAACCTGCATGCAAATTTTTCCATACGAGCAGTAGATACTATACGAGCGGACGGTATCGATTCGTTGTATCTTACTGCGGTACAACTTCGAAGCTCGAGCGAAGAGGTGCAACGAAAAATATACAAAGTTACTACTTATGATACTGTGCGTTCGTTTCTCAATTGCGGCTTTTGTCTTGTTCTTAACACACAAACCCGTACATACACACAAACACAGTGTGAAAGTGGTACACTCGAGAGGCTCGAAGGTTACACATGTACATATAATGCCCACTTGTAAGCGGCGCGCAACATTGTACACACACAATGTATGTACTTTATCCTCAGGAAGTAGCAAAATCCTTTCGCAAAATTTTGCATTACCGAGCGGATATGCGCGCGTAGCGCTATATACCCGTACCAACGGCTCGCGGCTTTATCGAGTCTATAAATTTATAGCAATGCGAGCGCTGGAATTAACTTTCATTCATAAATAATCTATGGACTTGCGGATGAATTCAAATCTAAAGCTGCAATTTATAATAAGATATATGTGTGTGTAGTGTTATATACCCCAAATTGTAATGGAAAAATTGCATCAACCTCGGCGCGGGCTTTTTTTACATAAGAGAGAAATATCGAATTGGATCAGCGAGAAGGGCATATAATTCGTATCGACGTCATCCTTGCCCGGGCACGTGGCCGAGAGCTGACACCGCCGCCGCTGTTATATCTTTTCCAAGTACCTCCACTTACGTACACGAGGACCTTTTTAGATCCTCCGGCTATAAATGAAAAACCGGTCTTGGCTGCGTGGGTCCCTTTCGGCTGCTGCAGCCTTATAGTCTTCGCGCGGCTCACGTACGCACGCAGTTCTCGACGCAACGACGTTCAAGGTCGCGGGATGATGACGACGACGACGACGACGACGACGACGACGATGATGATGGTCGTAGAAGCGTCATCATCATCGTGGGGAATTTAATTGAGAAAAAATGTGTATCGCGCGTGAAATTATGGTCCTCTCTAGGAGTCGAAGCCGGACGTGCCGCTGTGTATTGCCAAATATCAAGAGAGAACCCGTGGCTACGATCGGCTGCTATATATGTATATTCAATTATAAAGGCGCAATTTTTTCCTTCCTCCTTCTCTCTTTTTTTTGCACATTGTGCAACTGTATAATCGATGCTGACCGGACAATCGGTCAGGTAATACACAGCGCGCGGACTTTTTAATATATATTTCTCGAAGCGAATTGTGCGAGAGAAAGAAACTATTTCGCCGCGACGGTGTGCTATCGAAATTGGTGAAAGTTTCGGACCGGGAGCCCAGCGCTGCTCTTATTGATAGAAAAATTCGCGACTCTCGAAAGATCTTTTGCGACATCGATTATATATTTAGTAGGATATCGCGCGAAATTTGTATATTTAGCAAGAGAACCGTTACGCTCGATGTGACCGATGTGAAATTTTAACACACGCACGGGAGAAATTGCACGCAAAGTTTTGGGGATCTAGCCGCGAATACGAGTCATCGAAATTGCAGAGGCAACGTCGTTACAACAATATACGAATGACAATCCACTGCAGGCGGCCGCAAAAAATCGTGAAAAACATCGAGCTAATAATATCTTTATATTTTCATATCTGCGATATATCGTTGAGAGGCTCGCGAGCGCTTAGGAACCACACAAGGATGACCGGTACGTCAGTTTCAGGGGCAGACTTTTTTTCGAGCGCAGCTCGCTCCGTCGTCTGTCCGTTCGTCCGCCACAGCGAATGTCACCATGACGATGATAATTTCTCGCTCGTGGTTTCTTACAATACACATACTTGTGTATATTTTCTTTCCTTCGCTGCTTTTTTTTTATCATTTCGACATCGTACTTACGTACGTATACAAACACGTGTGACACACGGTCGCGCACAGAGAGAAAATGTGATAATCGGGAAAAACCACACACACATAACACCGAGATTCTCGGTAGCTTCATTTTTCACCTCGGCGCTATATTAACCGGGGTGAATCATATCTGAGATAAAAAAAAATAAAGGAGCAGCAGCAGCGACAGATTTCCAAGCCCTTGTACAGAGCTGTGCGGAGTAAAATCTCATTTTTCTCCCCCGTCGCGGGCGAACACACACAAACACATATACACACACACACGAGCAAACGAAGAAAGGATAAAAGAGCTCTCGAGGCACTCTTGTAGATATATATATAAAATGCGATGGCCTTGAGAAACGACCGACTCACCTGAGATTCCGCAGACCATTTTTTTTATCCTTTTTTTCCTGCCCCACTCTCGACCGGACGCGCGAATTTTCGTGATTATCCGCGAACTGCAGAGTGCTCTATTCAACGAGGGTACTTACAAAGACGGCGTGCACTCGCGCATACACACACACCCACACAAACATACGCGTAATACTCGAAGAAGTAAGAGCAAAACTGTCTTTCGGAAACTTCGGAAATTTCTTTTTCGACTTCGAACATCTTATCGAACGAAAATTCGATCAAATGGACATTTAACGAGCGCCTCGTATCTAATCTCGAAGACTGCGTGGAAATCCGTAATACCCGGCTCGATCCGGATCATGTTCCGAAAATTGCATCGTCTCTCGTCTGCCCCCTGAGAAAATAAACAAAGTGCGAAAAAAAGGAGCAACAAGGCACATTATAAAAGCCGTATTATACGTATCCAAGTATATAAACGTCCCCTCTCGCAGAGCTCCGTCTTTTCATGCACGGAGTAGTAGTAGTAGTACAAGACCGGCTGAGGCGAACCCGCGGCGCGCCGCACTGGCCAGTTCACAGTGGCTTCGCACGCGAGCCACATCTTACGCGTTTTAACTCTTTTTTTTTTATCATTATTATTTATTTATTTATTCGATATACGCTGGTCTCCGCGTCTCTCTCGGACTTGTGGAGTGTGCGGGATAATCGTGCGTCTCGTCTGTGCGGGCTCTGCGTTGTCGTCGTCGTCGTCGTCGTCGTCGTTGGGCGCAACGCACTCGATCGCTCCAGCATTTTTCGAGGAAAAATAATAAAACATTGTGATCTCGTGCGTGCGCGTGTGCATGAGTGGTGTGCAAGTGCGTGAGAGAGTGATCGTGCGCCGTCGCGAGCTGCGATTAGAAGCTGATCTGTGAATAATTTCCATCGGTATAGATAGAAGGCGATTAGAAAGAGCGTCACCGTCTGTACGAAAACATACGCACGAGCGAGCAAGCACGGAGATAAGTGAATCGACGCGAGGCAAACAGTAGCAAGAAATCGAAGGTAAAGAAAAATCCATGACGTGCGTTGTTCGTCCCGAGCAGGGTGCGATGGGTCAATAATTAGACAGGCGCATCTGATCGAGCAGGAAATACGCGATTACGAGCGACGAAGATGACACACACACACACAGACACAAAAACAGACGCGCGGGTAGACTCCGGATCAGTGCTACAGCAGAGATGGTCAATTAGCTATAGGAGCCGATCGAACACAAGGTTTATTTATGATTATACGGTCCAAAGTGCCAATCAATGATCAATGACGAATAAAAAAAAAGAAGGAGAGAGCAAAAATTGATTATAACAAACGAGCTCGCTGGCTCGCGAGCGCGTGTGCGATGTTTTGTTTAGGACAGTAGAGCAGCGTACGCAGCAGCAGCAGCAGCAGATGAAAGTGAATGTACACACGCATTATATTGTGTTGGTGTGTGTGTATGTTGGTGAGCGCAAAGTGCGGTGCGGTGCGCGCAGCACATGCACACACACGCGCACACCTGTTACATAGTCCTCTCTCGCGCGCGAGCGGCTCGGCTCACGGCATCGAGCAAGCCTCGCTCGGAACACTTTTACTTTTGCGATATTCTTCTCTTCCCTATTACATATATATAGAGAATATAATCGCGGCGTCTCGTCGTGCGCGCACACACACACAAAATTCGATTCCTAAATAATAATATACATTTTTCGAAAGCTGCGAAAAATTCGCGCTGATTCTGTGATCGTGCGCGCATATTTATTATAATATACGTGTGTGTGTGTGTCTTTCTGCTTGTGGTCTTTGTGTATAAGCGCGCGCGTGTGCAGGAATTTAAACTTTCGAACTACGTCGGAATACATTATACACATTGACCGGTGATGTATGAAATATACTTTGGCCTTACGTCACAATATATGTATATACACCAACGGACTCGTACACACACATACGTATGTATCCCTTATTACACATTCCCCGTGGTACCACTTATGTAATTAGCACGCGAACGCGTGTGTATCGATGTACGCACACACACACTTCAGAAACACTCGGAGTAAGGACCTAATTTTTCATCGTTAAAGGCGACGATAATCGGGCAAATATTATTTTGGTTTGACAGCCTCCTGTCACGGAATATTTCGGCTTATTTCGTCCGGAGGCCGCAAAGTTTCTCTCTTCGACTCCATTCATCTCGCTCTCGGATTTCGATTAATTAAATTCCTCACCGAATTCGCTTAGATTCATATGTAAATTAATGTTTTCGCTCGAAAATCAGCGAGTGTAGACGCACTTGAATAAAAAAATGAGGAAGAGAAAAAAATATTGAAAACAGCAGTACGTCACGTACGCGATCCCGCCATTCGATCGATCGCATGTTATTATTACTGGATCGAGGTCGATTTATCCCCTTCCTCTATGGCTAGTAATCGATATAACTGTCTAAAAAAATGTTCGTTCTCGTTGTTATCCTCGCCGTTGTCGTCCTCCTCCTCCTAATTCTTCTCCTCCTCGATCCGATGCCTGCGTACGATTAACGCGTGGGTCTCTAGTGCGAACAATTCCATTAAAAACTGCTGTATCACGTCTCTTTATAGAGTTGTTGCTGCTGCTGCTGCCGCCGAGGCGAGGTTTTTTTTCGTTCGTTCGTTTTGGCGTGCGCACATACACGTCAATATAATGTATCAGGGAATCGAGCTCGAAATGCACCGAGACATGCAGAAACGTACTCCGCGCCGCACACACAATCGATGCCTCGTTAGCGAAATAACGACGAAATTTGCATCGCGCGCGGAAAATTTGTTCGCGTCGGCGTCGGCACGGCATACCTGTGCGGCGCGCGGATCGGAGTCGTATCCGCGAGTACGTATCGAGTTCTACAAATATTATACGCGTACGAACGATCGCGCCCCCGAAAAGCAGCAAAAAATCCGCGACTGCAATTTTTCCACGTGTGTAACACGCGCCGCTCGACTCTCACCTCGTGTGCTGCAGCAGCCTACCTATATATGTTCTCCTCTAAACTTGCTCCACGTTATTCGCAATAAACGCGGCCGAAGGCGACGTACTCGCACGTCGTCGCGCCGTGTGCGTTATGTAAAAGATCGATTCTCGCGCTCGACGACGACGAGAGGCTGCGTGTACCGAGTATACGTACGTACGCGTATCGCTGGCATGAGACTCGAAAATGTAAGACAAACGTCAAGTTTACATATATTAGCTCTCGCGGTGGCAGGCTTTCGCGCTTGGATATATCAAAATTGGTTTTGCCGTATTTTAGATGATATAGATATATATATACGCGTATGGCTGACGGTGCTTTCTCCCGCGCTCGTACTGCTCCACATTTATGCAGTGCAGTACACGTGATATAATATCTTGAGCCGAGTGCGGCACGGCCTGCAGCAGCCTACATAATTATTACACATTACGTTCATATTTTGGTATTACATATTCGTATACATGAATGTATAATACAATTATCAAATATAATATACATAAATGAAAACTGGCGCAGTGGTGTTATGATAACAATAAATGACACTGCGTAATTATGTTTAATTATTTTTCACTCTCTCTCTCTCGGGCGCGCGCACCTCGCATGACTGTGAAATTAAATTTACAACGGCGTCATCGACGAAATGCGCGTGGCTCGCTCTGCGCTCGACGTTTTATTTGCTTCCGAAAACTATATATACTATTCTAATGCATCGACTGCTGCTACTGCGCGGAAATTAGCTGCTATGGCTTTTTATAATTAAGCGTCGACCCGCCGCAGCAGCAGCAGATCGTATAATGACACTCGCGCGCGCCGCGGGCGAGTTACTTGCTCTCCTGTGCGAGTATACTGTGTCGAAGCTTCGTGCCGTACGTGTGTGCGTACGTTCGCGAGCGTGGGTAGAAGCGCACGCGGAATTACGCGATTAAAATGCGACTAGTTCGCGTTCTAAGAGAGAGAGAGAAAAAAAAGGAAAATCTTTGGTATACGACACGCCATCGTTGTCGTGCCTATAGCTAGTAATAACGCGTTTATCCTCGATTAATAGCATAGAAGATAGCCATTATTATTGACGATGAAAATGCCATGCAGCGATGCAAAATCACGTACCACTACTACTGCTATCTGCCACTGTGTAAATATGTACGCGAGCTAAAAACATACATATATAAATGTATATAAATTCTGATTCACCTCGCCGCAGCCGAGCCGCGCAGTGAGAGTATACACGTATATAAGACGGAATAAGAAAGAAAGAGACAGACTTTATCCCACTTACATCACACGAGTGCACGCGCGCGTGTGCATGTATAAAAGCGCAAGGCACTATTACCTCATCAGAAAGAGAGAGAGAGAGAGAGAAAAAGAGAGAACCTGCACCTGCACACACGTATATACTTTTCAATATGTACACATACAGATATATATAATGCACGCTAAGACACTCACAAAGGCCGAGTGAGTTTTCCTGCTTTTAGGTATACGTGTTCTGGATATGATATTTCGTTGAATCATTGTATATATAGAGAAAATTTGTTTGCCGCGCGGGTCATTGAGCTGTTTAGATTTTGTTATCTGTGCGTGTAAAGAAAAAAAATGTACGAGGATATAAATCCCCGTGTAAATGACGATACAATTAAAAGAATGCAGATGACCTGGTAACGATACGTGAAAATTAATTGCTTAGCGCGGCCACGTTAGCGATCGAACAAGGTCACGATGAAATGAATTTATTGTGTCCACATCGCTTGGATGACTTTGATTATATACGTTAAAAAATATTTTGATCTATATAGTCGCTGCAAATCGTCCAATCGTAGATGTTTATAGTTAGAAATGAAAGAAAGGAAGATAAAAGCTGGTGCACGGGAATTGTGCAGCAGAACGTAGAAACGCGTCTGAGACGAAGCTCACGTATAGGATAGGTATTAAGATCATCGGTGCATATATTGCACGCGGTGAAACTTCATAGACCTCTCTCCCTTTCATTGATATGCTGTATAGTATTTATAATATTGCGCCACTTGTACATATAGGCAGGTACACTTGGTGCCAGGCTAATGCATTTATAACGTATATAGCACACGCTACCAATGCGGGTACACGCGCACTAGGCTTCTACTAGGGGCACTAGGACACTGTTACAAATATTTATATTAAAGTTTTTATGTAAAATAAAAGCAAGTTTTTTTAAAAGTACTAAAAAATTGAATTTAAATTAAATTTTTTAATTCAATCGTATACAATTAATTTTAATGTAAAGTTCTTTAAATTTCTTTAAATGCACGAATTCATTACACTTGCATTAACTGTAGTTTGACTTAAATACATATTATGACTTTGTCACTTGCGGATTTACGGATAAATGTATTCACCATCTAGCGGTAGAAGCTGGCATTAATTTCAAACAAGTTTTTCATGAATTTTTGGGCCGTTTATAGCAAATGTTTGAATTTCACAGGATAAAATTAAATTTTTTGTTTGTTAATTGTTGTATTAAAAATGTCATGCATGATTGCTTTTTTATGCTCTTTTTGTAATTTGTAAAAAAAAAAATTAATCTGATCTAATTATCAATGAAGAATTCATATAAAAGTACTTTAATTAGTATCGATTAATTTAATTTTAATGTCAAATATTAAATAAAATCTGCATTAAATCGAAGGTTTTTTCGGCACTGTACAATCTTAAGTGTAAAAATATTTGAGTCTTTTATAATGTTCTTGCTGAATGGAAAAAAGGCAATTCAAAAATATTAATCAAACTTCTCCCCAATGCTTTGTGCGTAGATATGGCTGAATCGGAGGCGAGCGCTGTTACCGCCGCCGCCCCAGCAGCAGCCCCAGCGGTGCAGGTCTCGCTGCCTCACGGAGCAGCGCCGGCGGTGACGATGGCCAGCGGCGCCGCGGAACTGGCCCTGAGCGATCATCGCGAGGCCCAGCCACCCAGCGGGCCCCAGCTCGAGCTCAAGACGCGCCGAGCCCAGTTCAAGACACAGGCGTCGACCATCGCCACGCGGCGCAGCCAGGCCGTCTGCGTGCGCAACGCCTTCAAGAAGTACGGACCCAAGAGCAATCCCAACGTCATTCTGGACGGCCTCAACATGACCGTACCCAAGGGCACCATGTGAGTACATAATTACCGATGTCGCGCGAAATGATAATTGCGCGTCGCGACTCGAACAAGAAGATAAATAATAAAAAGAATAATAAAAAAATTAACAAGACGTTGATCGATCGATTCGAGGTGTTGTTTCGTCGCCGCGAAGAGGATGCGTTCGATTGTCACGTGGCTGGAACGGCAAAAAAAGTGCGTGCGAGGTTTTGTTTTTTATCGTACCTCAACTCGACATTGAGAATCGATTTCGCGCTAATGAATGTGTACGCGTGCGCGATTATTCTTGAACTTGAATTTTTTTCGATCGTAATTTTTTTTTTTTCCACGCGACCACTCTAATTATACATGCAAATGATTTATTATTCGTCGTCGTCCCGCACAGCTACGGCCTGCTCGGTGCCAGCGGCTGCGGCAAGACGACCTTGCTGTCGTGCATCGTCGGCCGTCGGCGCCTCAACGACGGCGAGATCTGGGTGCTGGGCGGCCGACCCGGCTCCAAGGGCTCGGGCGTGCCGGGCCCCCGAGTCGGCTACATGCCCCAGGAGATCGCCCTCTACGGCGAGTTCTCGATACGCGAGACCTTCATATTCTTCGGCTGGTGCGCGGGCATGGCCACCTCCGCCATCGAGGAGAAGATCGAGTTCCTAATCAAGTTTCTCCAGCTGCCCGCGGAGACGCGCTTCGTGAAGAATCTTTCGGGCGGGCAGCAGCGTCGCGTGTCGCTGGCCGCCTCGCTGCTGGCCGAGCCCGAGCTGCTGATCCTCGACGAGCCGACGGTGGGCGTCGACCCGGTGCTGCGCCAGAACATCTGGGACCATCTGGTGCACATCACCAAGGACGGCCGCACCACCATCATCATCACGACGCACTACATCGAGGAGACCCGACAGGCCGGCATCATCGGTCTGATGCGCAGCGGCAAGTTCCTCGCCGAGGAGTCGCCCAGGAGGCTCATGGAGATGCACAGGCTGGACACCCTCGAGGACGTGTTCCTCAAGCTCAGCCGAAAGCAGAACATGGGTCTGAGGCGGCGCAGCAGCATCTTGAGCAGCGTCACCGGGGTGCCCGTCGAGTTCGACGCCGACGAGGAGATGAGCGGCGAGTTCGGCGACAATATAAGCATATGCAGTCGGCGCAAGAGCTGCAGCACAGATGCCAAAGACGTGAGTTCGCAATGATGATTTTCTCCATAAGTTGGATTGTTTAACGAGCTTTTTCTTTGATTTCAGCCCCTGGCTCTTCCTCCGGAGGAAGAGGGATCGACCCAGTCGCGATGGATACTCAATCCGAAACACATGAAGGCCCTCATTTGGAAGAATTTCATGTGGATGTGGAGAAACTACGGGTAGGAATTCGCTATTTCGCGTTGACGCTAATTGCCTTCGCAAACTTACGCACGACATTTTCTCTTATCGCAGAATGATGCTGTTCATAATCGGGCTGCCGGTCGTGCAGATCATCCTGTTCTGCCTGTCGATCGGCAAGGATCCCACCGGTCTGGGCATAGCGATCGTCAATCACGAGCTCAACAACAGCATGCAGGCGTGCCAGCCGTCGCTCGGCTGCTACGATCTCTATCACAGCTGTCGGTTCTTCGATCATCTGAACCAGGGCAATCTCGAGTACACGTTCTACGACACGGAGGCCGAGGCGAGGCACGCCGTCGAGAAGGGCTGGGCCTGGACCTACGTCGTCGTGCCGGCCAACTACTCCAAGGCGCTGATCGAGCGAATCGAGCTGGGCAGAGACGCCGACAACGCGACCGTCCTCATGGCCGACCTCGACATCTACATGGATATGTCCAGTGCGTATTTTTATACAACATTATAACAACGAATTAATACAACGAATAATCATCTTATTTAATCATCTTTTTCTTCCGTAGATCAACAAATTGGTCAGCTCTTGATACGTCACTTTTACGACGCCTTCCTGAAATTCGTCCGAGAAGTTATGACTTCTTGTGGATGGAATCCCAACGCCAGCAATTTACCCATCAAGGTATAAATTCGTTTCTCTAACGCTTGTATATAATTCAGAGTTTCTTCTTTAGAAAATAACTTAGATGTGTGTCTCTTATCGCTCATCATAAATGTTTCTTCTCCCCCGCAGTTCGAGCAACCCGTTTACGGACCGCTGGAACCGGTTTTCACGGATTTCGCTGCACCCGGCGTCATTTTAACGTGAGTACAGTAAATTCTTCTATCGTGAACAAATTTATACGTATTATTTTTTTGGCATTCCAAAACGTCATTCTTTATTGCAGGATTATCTTCTTCTTGTCTGTCGCCTTGACCTCCGGTGCCATGTTGCTCGAAAGAAACGAGGGTCTGCTGGAGAGAAGTTTGGTTATCGGTAGGTTTTTTAAAATATGCACCAGCACAATGGTACTATTTTCATGGAATGAGTATTGATTTGTTTCTTTCTGTGTCACAGGTGTGACCGGTACTGAGATTCTCTTCGGCCAAGTGGTCACGCAATTCATCATCATGGCCGGCCAAGCCGTGATGGTCCTGCTCGTGGCCATCGGCGTTTTCAAGATTACCTGCGATGGTAGTGTATTCGCCGTACTCGGCCTCACCATCCTCACCGGTCTCTGCGGCATGTGTTTCGGTAAGTTGAAAAAAGACAAAAAAGGAAAATCATCGTTTCTGCAAATACCAGTTGAATACTAACGATCTCTCGCGATTGTCGATTAGGTTTCGTGGTCGCGTGCTCGTGCGACAACGAGCGCAGCGCCACCTACATGGCGATGGGCTCGTTCCTGCCGATCGTCATGCTTTGCGGCATCATCTGGCCGATCGAGGGCATGCACTACGTGCTGCAGTACATCAGTTACCTGCTTCCGCTCACCAAGAGCACCGAGTCCTTCCGGGCGATGCTGGCGCGCGGCTGGGAGATCAACGAACCCACGGTCTACGAGGGCTTCATCGCCACCACAGTCTGGATCTTCGTCTTCCTCACCGTTGCCATTCTACTGCTCAAGTTCAAGAAGGGTTGATCAGTTCGATCGATGCCAAGCAAGCTACGATCTTTTTACCTTCGAGTTTTTTTTTACGATTTCGTGTTAAGTGAGATAAAATCTTTTTTTGTTTTTTTTTTATCGTCTGTGCTGACGTTTTCGTTTCGTAATTTTTCTGTTTTATTAGTATCTGAATTTCCAACGCAAGGGGATAAGACTGTGTTAAATCCTACAACAATTTTTATCGGTTAAACCAATTTTTAGATGTGTCGAAACGGTTTTAGATTATAAGCAAAAAATATAAATCTAAAGTGCATTATGTGTTAAGAAAGTTCTGTTTTAGGGTTTTTAGAATGACTATAAAAGCGTGTGGAATTTTATAGGATGTTATATACTTTTTCAAACTATTACTTAGCTTTAAATACCTAGTTCAAGCAATATGTAAGTCATAAAAAAACCAAAGTAGTTTACGATGTATTAACTCACTGTGAAACTTCTTCCTGTCATTCTTCGATTCGAAAATTTGCCTCGATTATTATTCCATTTACGTAAGCGGAAAAATTACCTCTTTTATTACCTGCAAAAATAGTACCTGACAAAAAAAGATGCACTATTCACATTTTAAATTCTAATTACCTAAAAGTAGCAGTGAGTTAGGTTAAAATGAAATAAAGATAATCTTCATAGGGTGCAATATAAATTATATAGGAAAATATGAATAAGATTTATATTTTTAAATTAATCGTTATCGAGTATACATAACAGTGCTCTGCTTACCTCAATAAGCAGATTGAACTCCTCGAAAATTGAAAAATCTGAAGATAAAATAAAAAAAGGAATTATCACGACAAACGAGGTAAAGAAAAACTTTTGACAAGTTGAAAATGAGACAATTTGTACTTAAGTTATACAATGAACTTACCCGTCAATGAAGTTTCTTTTCCTTTAATATCGAGCCATAGGATTGTAGTTTTTATAAAACATAAGCAATCGTTGAAAATTCAAAATTTTTAAATATTTTAACATAGTCTTACCCCTCTTAAAGACAAATATACTTTTCGCGACGAAGTAAAAGTTGATAAAAAATAATTTTATGCGCTGTTTTTATTTCGTCGAAAAAACGTAACTATAGGGTTGGAGAATTTAGTCGACATGACTCGTAGTTTTGAACAAATTTCGTAGACATATAATAATTAATGAATGTATAGTAATTTATTTATTAATCGAAGAATTACTGTGATCTTTTTGAGTGTGAAAAATTACGAGTTGCTTTTATTTATCGGTTATGGTTCACAATTTCGTATAGACCAATCACGTCGAACGAAATGGTGAGAATCTTGCCATTTTTTTATCATTATTATTATTGTAAAAGGCTGGTTAGGGACTGCTAAAAAGTGTTATTTCTATTTTACCCAATTTTTCCTTTATTTTTACGTTGTGCGCTGTGCTTCCATGACACATTGCTACACTGAACCCGGCTTCATAAAGTGGCGTCTGTTTATTTATTATGAATAATAATATTTGCTTTAAATTACTCGATACACTATATTATGTACTCGTAGCAAATATGTTAGTTTCAAAACTAATAATTGTTTATAGATTGTGCTAATTATCCTTTTATTATTTCATTTTATCTTCGGAACGGTCCACTTGGTTGTGTCAGCAACATTTTTGTACAGCATGTTTAGTTCATAAGTATTGAAAAAAAGTACAGGCCCAACGGGGTAATAGTATCACCACACACGGCTTATCGAGAAAAAAGTAATCTCCTTGTTTTTTATAATAATATTGATTTGTTAACGATGACGCTCGTGGAATCAAACTTTACTAATATTGCCGAAAATTTCCGAAAGGATTCGTCTAAATTCCATCAGGAGAGTAAACAATTTTTTTAGCTTTTTTGTACAGTTATATGTATAATATAAAATTATATGTAATTATTAAAGGATTAATTTCTAATAAAAAGAAAATGAACAAAAACTGGACAGAGTTGCTCGTGATTTACATCATTAAATTTTTTTCACACAAAATAATTGTTCATCTTTAATTAATAAAAGTATTTTAAGTGATTCTGCAAATATTCATTCAAAAAATAATCGTTGCGCAAGCGACTAATGAAAAGTATAATATGACGTAGCTTGTTATAAATATATCACAAAAATAAAAAGTTGTTTTTTTCGAACGTACATATAGTGGCATTGGCATACTAAAATGATAATTTTTTTTATTTGTAATTATTTGTTTGCATAAATCATAAGGCATTTGATTGACTTCAAAAGTACACTTAACAAAAGTCCTTTCTCAAATCCTGCTCAAGGCTAATACATAAAAAATTGAATCGTAAACACACACACACTGGAGAAAACTCGAGGTGAAAGAGAGAGAGAGAGAGAGAAAGAACGAACAAACAGAAACTGTCATCGCGTCAGAACAGCTGCTGCAGATAAAATCGCGATTTAGTTTCGCTGTATCCTCTCTCAAAAGCGCGTAAAGATAAACGAACTTTTCCCACACACGCATTGACGCGCGGCATACACAGCTGCACGAGTTCAACTAATTATCGTATTATATCAAGTAGGTCACGTACGCAGACCAATCGCGATCGCGAAAGATCTCTGCGCGCGGAATTGGGAATTCCTCCGTTTGGCAAAAACAGGTGTACATGTGCACACACATACGATCGAGAGCCCCGCGACACCAGAGTGATAATACGCATTAATTTCATAATAATCGAGCGGTGTGTGTACCCGTCGGTCGGTGCACTCCCTCTATATATTACACAAACATTGCGTCGATTATACGTAGGGAAAACACAGCGCGACGAGGTTGAAATCGGCCCGACGACTTCAAGTACGTTCACTTTCCTTCGGCTTTCCGAGCTTCGAGCAAGTGCAGCACGTGAGACTCAGTGACGTACTTTAAAGCATCAAAAATAACAATGAAGATCACGCGCGTCTTTTTCTGGTTCGGAGTATTGGCGCTCGTCTGTGGCTGTGTAAGCGCGTACAGTGCGATTCCCGAAAAACCAAACAAGTGGGCAGGTAAGTTGAACTAGCTGCTGGGCAAATTTTATTTTTCAAATACGATTTTTATGGACGTTTTTCTTCATTTTACTTATTAATACAGTCGAGTGCCGCTCGGCCAATGACTGTTTGAGGTGTCCCGGAAATCTTCTGACCCAGTGCACTTCCGGCTATTGTGGTTGCAAAAATACCTACACGGATACCAGGCAGAAAATTCAAGGATGATTTCACAGGCGCTGTACAATTAGCAATCATCGAAGATCATCAAACACTTGCACGGAAATTTTAATTCCCAGCCATTTTCTTTACATAAAACTATCTTATATGCATATGAGCAATTCCGGAATTTAGTTTCGAATTTTTTGACTAAAAACGGAAAAAAATTTTTTTCGTTGGACGCATACTATGAACCCTGGGTATTGTTCTTGAAGGTCCAAGGAAGCTAAAGAAATGCGTGAACATGAAATTTAAGCATAGGTAATTAATTTTTTCTGGCTACTTTTGTATTTTAGGGCCCGAAAAGTCATGTTTTCGCGTAAATACGAAAATTCACTCAATTTCTAAGTGGCTGAAAAAGTATCAAAACACATTTAAAAAAAGTGACTGACTACTCCATTCGATAGGAAATTATCTCAGCTTTACGGTTGTGATTTCAGATTTTTCGATACATTGCATATTCACCGAGAAAATCATCACCAAATATGCCGAGCTAAATATCTCGAAAAATTCAGTACGAAAAAAGTGAACTTTTTGGTTTATTTTTGATTTTTTCTCATGAAAATTGAATATTTCGAAAAATCTGATACTACTACGAAAAATCGGATGAAAAATACAATCGAAGCCATATTTTCATTTATTTTTTCCGTCGAATTATAATGATATACAAGCCAATTTCTTTTACTGTATTCGCTGTTTTCTGTTACGGAACTGTTTTAATCGTGATCGCGAAGTTTTCAGCGTTGCGCGGCTCGCTACAATCAAAACTCGTTCATAATTCGACGGAAAAAATAAATGAAGATATGGCTTCGATTGGATTTTTCCTCAGCTTTTTCATGGCAGTATCAGATTTTCCGAATTATTCAATTTTCATCAGAAAAAATCAAAAAGAAACCATAGAAAGCTATTTTTCCGTACTGATTTTTTCCAGATATTTAACTTGGCAAGTTTTGTGATGATTTTCTCGGAGAATATGCAATGTATCGAAAAATCTGATATCACCATCGGGAAGCTAAGAAAATTTCCTATCGAATGGAGTGGTCAGTCACTTTTTTAAAATGAGTTTTAATACTTTTTCAGCCACTTAGAAATTGAGTGAATTTTCGTATTTACGCGAAAACATGACTTTTCGGGCCTTAGAACACAAAAGTAGCCAGAAAAAAATTACCTATCTTTAAATTTCATGTTCACGCATTTTTTTAGCTTCCTAGGACCTTCAAGAACAATACCCAATGTTCATAGTATGCGTCCAACGAAAAAATTTTTTTTCCGTTTTTAGTCGAAAAATTGGAAACTAAATTCCGGAATTGCTCATATACATGTACTAGTTTCAAAAAAAATCGCTGGACTTACAGGTGTACATTTCACCTAGAAATCCTGCTGTAACCTTCTAGAGTTCAAGCTGGATTTTTGGCCTGAAAAACTGGCTATAATTTTTAATTGTTCAACCAGACATACTCTAATATTTCCAAGTCGATCATCTACTAGGATAATTGAACTTAATGAAGTTTTTTCCTGGAAATTCGGCGTGTTTTTTTTAACCGGAAGGATTGTTACGCAATGTATTGATGTATGTAATAGCTGTGTTTATGTGTTTATAACTTGAGCAGAGCATGATACCCAAAATGTCTCGATATCTCTCGAACGATTAATCCTATTAAAAAAAACTATATTTATCGTTCATTGTGAAGAGAAGAGATCTGAAAAATTTGAAAGTAGATCCGTCAATACCAAAAACAATAGAATTTGTTGACGGTTTTAATAGTAACATAATGAAAATGAAATAAATTTTTTCTTCAATTTCATTTTTTCTGCAAGGTTTAATTATTAATATTTTTTAATTCTGTAATTATTGTATTTCTGTGATGCTTTATTGTTTAAAGATAAAACAATTTGCAAATAAATTATTATTTATAAGAAAAAAGAAACCTGCCAATGAACTAACAGCGATTTTTTCAACGATTATTATTAATTCTTTCACGACAGAAAAATAATACACTTTTGAATCAAAATTTTATTTACTTGTTTTCTGGACTATAAAAAAATAACAAGTAATGCCAAAAATACTATATCAAGCTAGCTTTTAAAAATATTATTCACAAAAATGTTGAACATGTTTAATTTTGTCAAAATTATAGATCCCTCACCCCTCCTACCCCCCTCCACCCCTATAAACGTACATTTTCTATTTCTATTTATTCCGAAGGTCTGAAGTAATTAAAAAATCTGAACAAATCCATAAAAATACTTTTTAACAATTCAAATAAATTTTAAATCTTCAAGTAAAGCTCAAAGAAGAAAAAAAATTGCGTTTTCGATCCCATCGCAGAGCTTTCTTATGGAAGAAACGATACATATCAGTAATTATGTAGAAACTCTCAACTTGCGCTGAGATGCGAATAGAATTAATGTTTAATGTTAAAATGCAATTAATGTTTAATGTTTTAATGTAAAACAGTTTGGGACTTCATTCTTAGGTATATTGAAGACATTAAGATTGTAAAATCGAGGTTTTGAAGACCTTCGATTTTTTTTAATCAGTGTAGTGCGCACGATTTAGTAAAAAAGTATTATACATCTCTTTCATTACTATACCACGACATGAAGAAGCACGTGGTCTGCTAGATAAAGTCTTGCCAATCTTTCAATATGAATAATTTGTGCGAATGTGCCAGCTTAAAACTACTTGGTTTATACAGCTGTATCCGTGAATTCCAGCTAAATTTTATACCTGGTTTTCTAGCTTGATTTTAAATAATTCAGCTAGACTTTTTCCTGAAAATCTAGATAGATGTTGAATTCTGCTGCTTTATAATATTATATATAGCTAATTTATGCACTTATTCCAAGATTTCTAGGCCTATAATGATGGCAAAAGTATAATATTTATTACAATCCTTAAAATTATTGAACGATTTCTTCCGATAAACTTTCTTATCAATTCATATTGCGCGGGAAAAATCATGACAGGCAATTACTGACGAATTGGTTGCTACATGTGATCACTAATTTACTTCTGCTAGCGGCCGCATGTTGACTCGAGCTCAAAAATACATAACTTAGTTTTGATTTTGAAATGTACATTTGAAGTGACGTTTACTATTACGAATTTTATGTTGACAAAAGAGAATTAACGTCAAGTGAAAAAGATGAATACAAAAGACCCTATCATTTGCTCTCCAGGTAATATTTATTGTAATGTTTAAAGTATATAAATAGAGAGATTGAGATAACCTCAATTATTTGACTCATTTTGCTTGAAAACAGAATTTTTTTATTTATGAAATAAAACTTATTTAACAGGGCAACGACTTTGTCAGGCAAACAAACAATACATTGCTGGACAAGGGACATACGAAGAACTTGGGTATATATACTCAAAATTTGCTGGAACTGTAAAAGTCATAGAGAAAGATGAAGTATTTATTCCTTTTTCACTAACAATTTTACAATTTCAAATCAAGCAAAAGAAATTCACCAATATTATTTTCAGACATATACAATTGAGGCGCATGGACTGCCAGACCCGACCATTGTTCCGGCTCCAGGAGATATTATAACTGCATTGGTAACATTAGTTAATCAAAGATTTGCCAAATGCGACATAAAATGTGTAGGAGATGTTACATTAAGCAAAAAGTACAGAGGTATTTTAAGAAGAGAAGAAGTCAGAGCCACAGAAAAAGATAGAATTGAGATGTACAAATCCTTTCGACCAGGGGACATAATCCTTGCTCGAGTTGTATCCTTTAATGAAATATTTAATACTAAAAATTATGCCAATTTAGTTATCGCACCAAAGATAAAAGAATAATAATTCTATATTTAATATGTTAATTTCCTTAACAAATTATAACTAATCAGCTACCAATGACTGAAGCACACACATTTCAACTTACAACTGCTGAAGATGAACTAGGAGTTGTTATTGCCGAGAGCGCCGAAGGTTTTTATATTTTTCTTTTATCCATGTACTTGAATCATGAAAACCTTATTTATTATGTTTTCAATTGATTCCAGGAGCACAAATGGTCCCTGTAAGTTGGACAGAAATGCAGTGTTCCAAAACATCCATCAGAGAACCTAGAAAGGTGGCAAAAGTTGTGCCGGAAGATGTAGCTCTAGGAAAAAAATAAAATTACTGCATGCATCAATTGTACATAGTTGAACGTAAAGAGTAGATTTTACTTTTTTAAATTGTCAAACAACGAAAATAAACATTGAATTACTTTTGTAATTGTTACATGACACATTTATTTGCAAAGACCCAGCAAAAAATCATTTGTCAATCGAGTTAGATATTTAAGCGAGATCAGAATAAGTTGTAAAATTAATCAAAAACTGAACAAATAGCGACGAACTACATGTCAAATAGAGAAAATAAAACACACATGGCAGCTTTTTCCTCTAAACTACAATGCAAGCGTGGCTATACGTCATTCAGGTGCAGGCAAACATACTGTGGTGAGATCGCGAACGATAAGCACTCGATGTATAAAAGCGCATCGGAAGGCTCGAGCGTGAACCATTACTTGTCCGTAAATCGCGACGATTCAACATGATGAACTTTTTCATATTTATCAATTACCTGGTTGCTTCGACGACGCCTAGTACAGCCAAAGACCATAATTACGACATTTTTTGGGAGGGCAAAGCGTTCGTCGAGATGATCAACAGCCTGAAGACGTTCTACAACGCAACCAGCATCTTCTTCATTCTTGACGATCCACAGGACGTACGAACGAGCTCGAATTTCACGCTCCCATCGATCGGCGCCGTCAGAAGCCTGTCCTCGGCGCGGATCTTCTCTCAGATCATCAGCGCCGGGCTGTTGTACAGCAGCTACGAGACGACGCTGCGAGGCTATCCTCGGCAAATATTCATCCTGCCGATCGTCGATGGCCAGGACGTGGCCGCGTTCGCGAGATTCACCAGGCGCCACGAGCTCAGTTATCACGTGTGGTTGCTGATCTTCTTGACGGCCGACGACAATGAGTCTCTTGGAATATTTTGCTCCGATCACAAACAAACGACCGGGAAGGATCCGAATTACGTGCGTCTGCGATTCAACACGCGACTGTTGGTCAAGTGTCACGCGGACCCGAGGCTGCGCGAATGGTACCGGGTGAACGAGCGCGTGGGACTGCGCGCCAACGACCTCATGGAGTGGACGGCCCGAGAGGGCCTGCACCTCGCCACGGACAAGAATCTGTTCGAGCGACGCAACAGCGCCGCCGGCACGGCCCTCAGGGTGTCGTTCGTCAACGAGGGATCATCAGCCGCGGAAGACGATCACGATCACGACGCAGAGGACCAAGATCGAGAGTCCGCCGACTTGTTCTCCGAGCTGATGATCGAGCTCGGCCGGCACATCAACTTCGAGCTCGTGTACGACTCGGCCGACTCGTTCGGCTCGTACAATCGCAGCTCCAAGAGCTGGAACGGCCTGCTGGGCGATCTGCAGTCGCGCAGAATCGACGTGGCCGCCGCCGAGATGACCATGTCCAAGCAGCGGCTCGACGCCTTCGACTTTGCCATTCCGCTGATCGTCACGGACGCCAAGCTCTTCATCAGGGAGCCGAGCGGCAACGGCGTGCACTGGAACGCTTATTTGAAAGTAATTTTGTTTTATCTGCAAAAACAAATAGGAAAGTAAAAGCAGTCTCGTATAAAAGGGTATTCTTCTTTCTGGCGCGTAGGCTTTCAGTCAGAACATCTGGATAAGCATCGTAATTCTGATCCTGTCCTCGGCGGCACTGCTGACCTACATGAAAACCAAAGCCACGGCGGATCGTCATCTCAGTTCCAACGGCGATCTCTTGGTCGAGAATCACCTGTTCGTCTGGGGCATCTACTGCCAGCAGGGCCTCGCCGAGTTCCCCAGCTCGTCGTCCCTCAGAATGGCCTACGTCTCGATCTTCTTCTCGGCCGTCGTCGTCTCGGCCCTCTACTCGGCCTGCATCATCAGCTTCCTCACGGTCTCGGTGGCCGATCTGCCCTTCGACAGTCTGCCCAAGTGCGCCAAGGACGCGACTTATCGGCTCATCGTGATACGCGACAGCGCCGAGTACGAGATGTTCGCCAACGCGCAGGATCACGTCCTCGTGCGGATGTTCGCGCTGATGAAGCGGAAGAGCGATTTGCCGCGCAACGAGCTCGAGGCCTTTCGACAGGTCTGCCGGGAGCAACGAGTCGTGCTCTACACCAACGAGGCGATAAGGAAAAAGATGTCCGACAGGATACCCTGCAAGCTCGTCGGCATCAAGACCGAGAGGGTGGAAAATATCGCCTTCGCCCTGACCAAGAACAATCCTTTCACCGAGTTCATCAATTATCAGTGAGTCGCGCGATCTTGTCCAGCAAAATCATTTTAAAATTTTAATCGCCCAAATTTTTATCTCTCCCTCGACCAAAGTATACTGAGATTCCGGGACAGCGGCATACTACAGCGCATGAAGCAAAAGTACTTCCGAGAGTACGCGGAGCCGCCGAGCACGGGCTACGACGCGGTGAGCTTCGGCGGGGTGGCGCCTCTGATAACGATCCTGGCCATCGGCATCGCTCTGAGTCTGCTGCTGCTCGTTCTGGAAAACACCTGTCACAAATTTCCTCACTCGAGAGCTCGAGCTAGAGCGGAAAAAACTGTATACGACGTGAATTTACCGACATAAAGAGCATATTTATTTTACGTCTGTACGAAAGACTACGTCGTTATATCTATTATCAGTAGACCTAGCACCCTTTGTAGCCTATTCGCATTATTTGCTCTGCGGCGGTCATCTCTCGCGCGTGACAGGGCGGCGCGCGATAAAGCAAACTTCCGGTCTACAAACAAGAAACGACACGATCGATCGATGTCTCGCGCGCTCGTTTAGTTCGCCGTAATGATCGCGCTACGACAGCTCGTCCTCGTTACGATCTACGTTCTATGGCTGACGATCGAGTCCGGCCGCTGCTGGGAGGAGATCCGAATTTACCAGCAGCTGGGCCGCTACATGCGCGACATCCGCACGATCTATCGGACCTTCAACATTCTGATCGCCCGCAACGAGATGGCCAACGACTTTCGCGTCTCCACGGCGCACACGAAGCTGCTGAAGCAGCTGTCGAGCCAGCAGGTCTACGCGACGATCTCGTCGATACGCTACATACCCGACTACGCGGTCTATCATCACAGGAAGGTGTCGCGGCCCCTCGTCGTCGTCATCATACGCTCGATGGAGGACTTTTACGAGCTCTCGGCGATCATGCGTCGCGCGCGCTTCCCGCTCTCGCTCTACAAGATGCTGCTCGTGTTCACGAAACGGTTCGAGGCCTGCCACGCGCCCCGCGGCAATCCGCTCGGCCTGAGCTTCGACTCGATGATCATGGTCAAGTGCTACGACCAAAACTACGTGCACGAGTGGTACTCGCTCCATCCCAACGAGACGCGAATCGGCCCGAGGCTCTACGAGCTCGACGAGGAGAAGCACCAGCTCAGGCGACTGACCGATCTCAAGGTGTACGAGAGACGGAGCTCGCTCGAGGGAATCGGCCTGCGGGTCACCGTCATGGAGGACGTGCACGTGGACGAGGGGGGCGCGATCTGCGGCTTCTTCGGCAACGTCCTCATGGAGATCGCCAAGAGCGCCAATTTCACGATCGAGCTGCAGCCCAAGGAGCGGGTGCCGGGCTCGTACGATCGACGCCGGAATCGCACCACCGGCATCATCAGGAAGCTGCACCAGAGAAAGACCGACATAGGCGTGGGCGAGTTTACGATGACGCACGAGCGCCTCGACATACTGAGATTCTCAAAGCCGATTTTCGTCTCAAAGTCCAATTTTTATCTCAAGAAGTCGCACGAGTCGCACGTGCTCTGGTCCATGTACTACAAGGTGCTTTTAGGCTGAACGTTCGATTACCTAGTTTGAACATTTTTAAATTTAGAGCAGATTTATTGCAAATTTAGACAATAAAATTAAATTAACCGATATGGAATTTTATTCCAGATAATTTTACATTAACATAGGATTTATTTTTTTGTATAAATTGACTAGAAATTCATAATACGAATCATTTTTGAAACAAAAGTATAAAAAAAATTAATTATAAACTGAAAATGTTGCATTCGATCAAAATTTAATGTTTTAATTCTAATTTTAGTTTTAATGTGAATTGCTAAAAAAATTTCTGAAAACTCATTCACGTTGAATGCCAGTCTCTACCGATAGGTGGCGAGTATCTGTATTTGGAAATCTGCAAGTAGAAAGTCAAAATAATTATATAAGTCACATTCATTTTAATGCCTGTACAACAAAATCGATTTAGTTTTCGAAAAGGAAAAATTTCCTTCTGTTTTATATCAATTTTAATGTAAATATTTTTTTTAGGGTGTACCTTATTACGTTACGATAAATTTATTGGAAAATTTGAATCTCAGGTGTTCGGCTCGAAGACGTCCTTCATCCTGCTCATGTACATCCTCATATCGCCGATGATCATCACCCTCACCATGTTCCGGAAGAATCTGCGCTTCGGCGACAAGATCTACAACATGTACTTCAACGTGCTCGGCATCTTCTCGTCGGGCACGCCCATCGTCGTGCCCACGGACACCTCCGAGCGCATAGCCCACTACTCGCTCTATCTGCTGTCGTTCGTCCTCTACACGGCCTACTCGGCGCTGCTCGTCAGTTATCTCACGATTTTCAAGCCCGACCTGCCCTTTCACTCGCTCGCCGAGTTCGTCGAGGCCAAGACCCACAAGATCACGACGTTGCAGAACACCAGCTTTACCGACGATTTCAAAGTTCGTCGGCAATTGCAAATTAACTTGAATGATTTTTTATTTGCAGACTAAGGATTATTATTTTACTTATTTCAGTATTCAAAGCGCTTCCCGGCCGAACACATTAACGATTACATGCTGCCGGATTCCGAGCTACCGACGTCTATATCTGGCACAATCGATCAAGTACGTTACTTTCCTCTCTCACTCAACTCAATCAAATATCAAATTCGTACCTAACGAGAATCTATATTTCACTGTTGGCGATGAAAAAAACAAATGAAAAAAGATTTGCGGCAACCGCAAGCTCGTCCTGTACATGGACGAATTGGTATTGTGGAGCAACCGGCTTTACGTCCCGTGCGAGCTAATAGCTTTCGAGCGTGATCGATTGAGCAGTTTGAGCCTGGCTTTTCCCAGGAACAGCCCGTACGTCGGCCTCTTCGATTTTCAGTGAGTAATACGTGCAATATATACGGAGAGCTTTTTTTCTCGAACGCCACCAAAATTGCTAAACGTACTCGAAACAGATTGCAAAAAATGCGCAACTACGGAGTCCTCAATGCGATCATGAAGAGGAATTTGAGGCAGAAGGAGACGCACGAGATCAGCTACAAGCCGGTGACGACTTGGAGCGTTTTGCCGATCTTCTGCATTTTATTGGGTGGAATGGTCGCCGCTTGGATACTGCTGATATGTGAACATTTGTGCTGTTTCAAGAAATTGTAAACAAATTGTTTTTTGTGAAATTATTTAATACAAAAAAATGCCAAGTTTGAATGACGATGAATAAAATATTATGTCAAGCATGCGATCCCACTGAATTTGTTCTGATTTGATATCTACCCTGTCGCGGAAAAATAAATACGAATGACACGTTATTTTCTCCCCCAAAAACATAGCTCACGGCTGAATCTTCGTTATTTCCAACAGTTTCGTTTTTCCTCAGTCCACGAGCCTCTCGAATATGAAACGATGCGCTCTTGTTCGATTCAACTCGGTTTTGCAATATTGTACTGTTTTTTCCTACAAATCAATCCAACATCGCAATACGTATCCGCGGAGGAACACGCTCAGCTAACGATAGCCGTAAAAGAATTTTACCACTTGGCCGCAGTATTGAACTTATTTATTCAACGAGACACCGTAACGAGTAAGTATAAAATTTGCGAGAAAACTTTGGTTATTCAATGAAAATGTCGACCAGCACAGGATTGGACTCGGTCAAGAACATCGTCGAGCTGTACCACATTTTTTCGGCCAACGGCATAGCCGCTCAGAGTATACCGCTGAGGAAACTCTCGGATTTTTCCATACACTACCAATGCCCCTCGCCAGCCCCTCTGCAAATGATCGTCCTCTCCTCGATCGAGGATCTGCAGATTTTCCGTAACTTCAGCAACAGCTATCCGATGGGCCGACGGCGTTGGCTCGTCATCATGGAGAACTCGGCGGAACTGCTGGACTACTGCCGCTCGCCCGGTGAGAACAACACCCTCAATCTGACCTTCGACACGGAGATGCTGGTCTGGTGCGAGAACGAGGCGACGATCAACGAGTGGTACTGCCGAGCCAACGGTTTCGTCGACGTGCACCGAGTCGCCAACTGGTCCCTCGTCAGCGGCCTCGTCCAGGTGGAGCAGCGCAGCCTGTGGCAGCGACGGCGCAGCCTCGACGGCGCCCGCATTCGCATCGCCACGGTCAAGGACACGGCCTACGACTCGCTCACGAGTCTGGCGACGTACGACGGCGCCGCGGCGCGACAACAGCAGCAGCAGCAGCAAAGTGCGCCGACGCTGCTGGGCCTGTTCGGGCAGACTCTGCGCGAGCTCTCGGCCACGATGAACTTTCGGGTGGAGCTGGTGGCCAGCGAGACGATGTACGGCAATTACGACCCGGTGACGGGCGGCTGGTCCGGCGTCATAGGTCTGCTGGCCCAGCGCAGGATCGATTTGGGCGTGGCCGAGTTCGGACGCAGCACCGATCGCCTCGAGGTCGTGGACTACTCCTCGCCGCTGGTGCTCACCAGGATGAATCTGTACTTCGAGCAGCCGACCGTTTCGGCCATCACCTGGTCGTCCTATGCTCAAGTGAGTGGCATGTTTATTGTGAAGTATTTGCAATATAAGTTCTAGCTGTATCGTGTATTCGCTCTTGAGGTATTGGAGAACAAAATTTGGTACGCTTCGTGCACCCTTATGATCGTGTGCTCGGTGCTCATCTCCTTCATGATGACGATGTTTCGCAAGGAGGGAATTTTCAGCCTCATCGTTGAGAATCTCTTCATCATCTGGGGCATTCAATGTCAACAGGGACTTCCTGGTGAGTAGTGATTCTCACTGCGACGACTATCACTGCACAAATATGTATGAATTTCTTGCTCGCAGTATTTCCCTCGGAAAGATCGCTAAAACTGGCCTTCGTCTCGCTCTTCATTCTGTTCCTGGTGATCAACATCACTTACTCGGCCACCCTCACGAGCTACCTCGCCGTCAACGTGCCCGTCCTGCCGTTCTCCAACGAGCAAGAGTTCCTGGAAAATCAGTCCTACAATCTGACGCTGCTGCGCGGCAATCTCTATCACGACTTCATCGTGCGCTCGCCCGATCGTTTCACCGAGCGGATACGCGAGCGACTGAAGCGCGTCGAGGAGCTGCCCTACAGCATGATCGACGCCGTGAGCCAGGTCTGCACCGAGAAGGTAGTGCTCTACACCAACGAGATCTTCGTCGACAAGATCGGCCCGCTGATACCCTGCCAGATCACGGCCATCGACACCGGCCGACTCGACAGCGCCGCCTTCACCATGACCAAGGGCAATCCCTATCGACGGATATTCGATTATTAGTAAGAACAAATAATAGACTTTTTGGCTAAAACACGAGTCATTGATGCTTTGATTTCACTTCGTGTAGCCTCGAGAACTATCGATCCTACGGCATACTGAAGGTGCTGAAGAGCCGATATCTGCCGAAGCGGGAGGCGCACAGATCGGTATACAAGCCGGTCAGGTTCACCAGCATCGTGCCGGTTTTGACCATGTTCCTCACGGGCACCCTCCTGTCGCTGACGCTGCTCGCCCTAGAGCTCATTTGCCATCGTCGCGCTCGGAAATGTTGCCGGCTGCGACGACACAAGCTCGTACTATCCTAGAAAAAGTTCATTGTAATTGTGCTGCAATAAAACGCTGCGGTCGTAAAACGGTCTATTGATTTTTTTCATACAAAAATACTCGTTCTCATATACAAACAAAAAAACGAATTCTCATATGGCACGTGCACTCGGCGCGTAAAGTTTCAATGTGCCGGTTGCCGCCCTCTGCGCATGTGTTTTATGTATAGGTATACATCCATATACGTTAACCTTGTCAGTTTCTTACGCGCAGTGTGTTTACATCCATGACACGGGCGAGTCGGGGAGAGTCAAGTTCTCGGTACTATCAAAGTGCAACAACCTTTTACATAGTTGCCTAGACAGATAAACAAACGTGTTCTGTGAAAAAAATGACCAGCTCGAACTCGAAGCTAGTGGGCGAATATGCCGGTAAATATTTTGTCTATACTTTTTTAAATGCCTGACGTAGAGTGCAACCTTTGGTTATGTTGTCTCGAAAAAAAACGCACCTTATTCAAATTCATGAAAACTACAAGTACGCTTTGTCGTTTACAGAGATCCGTCAGATGATGCACGGGTTCGGCGATCACGCCGAGCCACTCGTAGAGACTGCCAAACTCGTCGACGAGGTCGTCAACCAGCAGATGCGCTCGATGTTACGCAAAGCCTGCGAGGTGGCCGCGACCCGCGAAAGCTCGATGGTCGGCATGGAGGACTTTTTGTTTCTGCTCAGGAAGGACAAGGTCAAACTGCACAGAATGCTCAATTACTTGAGTGCGTTGGTTTTATTTTTTTCTCCATTATTTTACGAATTTTTCATCATTTAACCATTGCTTTCGTTACAGAAATAAAGGAATTCAAAGCCAAAATGAGCAGTACGCTTGACGGTGAATCTCCACTCACCTCTCCCAATCCGTTACAATTGGATCTCAATCATAAAGCACCGTATATGAAATTTTTAAAAAGTATTGATAATACTGGTCAATTATTGAATGCTGAAAATGTAGTAGATTATACCAAGCAAAAGCGAATTGAGAGGATCGATAGAATGACACAAGACATGGATAGATGGAAATATCTAGAATTTAGTAGAGCCAGGTGTGCGACTTTTTCCCTTAAGAAAAGCAATAAATTTAATAAATTCAACGAGTGGATTGCAGCTAGTGGTAAGTTTTTTACATTTAGATTCATCAAAAGTGAAATAAAAAAAGACGGTTTAACAATTGCTTCATTTAAAGGGGACATGCCGTTACACAAATCTGCTTACACTGCACTAAGTTACTTAGCTTACGAAACCATTGGACAAATTGTTGATCTCGCATTTTTAGTCAGACGAGATCAAAACAAAATCAATGGTGATCCAATCGACAGACTGAGAACAAGTTATCCAAATCCTTATACGTATAAGCCATATCAGTATCATAAGGTAATATTTTATATTTTACAAAATAATGAACTGATTGATTTTACTAAAAATTGATCTAATTTTAGGCAATTAGCATAAAACCATTAACCCCAGCAGAAGTTCAAGAAGCCCTGCGTCGTTACTGGTCTCCTCAATTAGAAATGACTGGACCATTTCAGAGGTGGACCTATACAAAACCTGAGCTCAAGTTACTCACATGTTAATGATACTTCAAGTGTATGTATTACTCGTTATTTTTTATTTAATCAAATAAGGTATTTTAAATTTTGTAAATAAATATTTATTTTTATGCGTATAATTATAAAATTTATACTAGCCCAGCACTTCACAATAGTGCTTTGCTCTATATTTTACACTATGAATTTATACAATAATTTACTTTACTTCTGTATCATGGAGCAAGAAGGGTAGATACTCTAGCTTTACCTTCTGCTCCACCTGTTATGCAAGTGCCAGATTGATTTGCTATAGACCAATCACAGCACAAAGTACCTTTGTGTCCTCCAAGCTCCAACATTTTGGCTTGTGGATTTGGTGGCATCTAGGAAAAAAAAAATGATATTTTATTAATCACAGTAAAGAAAAATATTTTTTTAAATATTAAAAAAATTACTTTATAAATGTTTCCACCAGTCTGTGAGCAAAGTAGCATGTGTGCACCTTTTTGATCAAAAGTAAATAGTTTACCATGGACAGAATTTTTTTCTATTTTAAATTTCGATTCCCAAACAATTTTTCCAGTTTGACTTAAGCTTCTTTGGCATAACTTTCCATCTTCACTTAGAGCACATATGTTTGTAAAATCATTTGTTAATTCTATGTCAATTACTGGACTAAAGTGACAATTATGATTATCTATAATCTCATTTCGTCTTAAATCATGAATTAAAACATTTCCATTGGAAAGGCCAGTTACTAGTAACTGTCCATTATGATTAAAACTTGAACATAGTGCTGTAAGATTTTTTTCTAATGGTAATGTTCGTTCAACCTGCTTTGTTTTTATATTGTACAAAAGCAACTTCCCCTCTCCAGCTTGAGAAACTGAACAAACAAAACTTGAATCTGTAGGATTACACACTAGTGAAACAATTCGTGAGCCATCATGTTGAATTTCCCAAATAGTTTTACAATCACGTGTATCATGAAGCTGGATTGCACCATTATTGTCTCCATGGATGAAGTAACGCTCATTTTTAAAGATCCAATCTAGAGCTGTTACAGCTTTATTAGAATTAACAGTTGAAGAAGTAAAGGTTGCTACAGTTCTGGAAGTGAAAAATGAATGAATGTTTTTGAATGATAAGAAAATAATAATTGACTTACTTTGGTGATGGAATTGGGGTCCAAATTTTAATTACACCATCAGCATCTCCAGTTGCTACATAAGACCCGCTTGCATTACTTTTACATTGAATAATGGAAGTTTTGTGTTCAATGTACTCCTCCTGTATAGTGATGATTTTTTTATTACACAATTTTTCCAGTAATAGAAAATTAATCAAAAATTTATATGCATTACCTGACTCAAAAGAATATAACTTTTATCTAACTTATCTTGAGGTTCTCTACTAGTATCAACAGATGAATCTCTTTTTCTAGTCAGTCTTGAATCACAGCTTGTGCTTCTTTTAGATATAGCTTCAGATTTACTCAAAGAAGTAATTCTACCTTTACTGTTAGCTCTTTTAGTTATGGTAGCATCTGAATCTGTATGTTTTTTAATACTACTTGAAGACTTTCTACTTAGAATTGGACTTGAGCCACCACCAATGTTACGAATAAGATTTCTTAATGTTTTTGGATTATCTACTATGGGGGATTCTCTGAAAATAATACTCAAATTTATTGAAATTTCAGGATTCAAAATAAATTATCTTTAATAGAACTTACTGTGCTATAATGTAAAAATCATCCATCAATGGAGATTGTTGTGGTGTTGGTCCAGCATTAACATCTAAAATTGAATCTACTTTTATCATTTCACCAATTTGCTCTTTTAATCTCATATTTTCATGTATTAATCGTCGTATTTTGTTGGTGTCCTCATCTATCATAAGTAATGTAGGCATTGGCATACACTGTAATAAATGGTAAACAATTGATAATTGCATAAACTTTTTTGATATACATTTAAATTTTGAAAAGATTGATCAAATCAAGGGTCAAACTCATTTACATTAATTTGAAAATACTTTGAAAAGTTTCTGAAGGGGCTTTAACAACATTTGAGTAAAGATTATTGCAGAATCATTTAAAAACTTTAGAAAATGTGTTTGAAATGTTTCAGTATTGCTTTGATTTAAGTAGTTTCATGTACCAAATAAAAATTTACCTGAAAAATAGTAGCTAAAAAATTGTGTAAAGAGACTATCATTGTATCTTGCCATTGTCTACTGAAGTAGACAGAAAATATAGGATTATCTTCTGGATTTTTTAGAAATGGCAGCGCTGAAAAAATTTTAATGAAATGAAAATTCTGCCGCTTGAGTGATATGATAAGTCAAGTACTTACCAAACCATTCCCTCCATTCAGAATGTCCCTGTAATTCTGATGTCATTTTAACAAAAAATTCCTGAACTTTGTCAGGCTTGTTTGTTGTCACCGCATTGACAAGATACATCTTGAGCACAGCATTTTCCAGCTTTTTTATGCAGGGAACAAAATGATTTTCCAAACGAGTGAACAATCTCGTATCCAAGTGTGCCCATAATTCCCGTAACGATGGCAAATCGTACGTGTGTATGTATTGCAAAAATTGGTCAACTATTTTATCAACCTACGAACAAAAGCACGAATGAGAAAGGACGAAAAAAAAACAATTCATCGCATGTCACGTTGCATAAGTCATGTCAATTTGCACCATACTCACCCTGAAGCCTTTCTCCTTTTCTGCTTTGAGATCGGCGTCGAAGGCGCGCAAAGTCTGACTGAAGCCGCGGAAGAGCAGGTACTCCTTGACGAGCTCGTCGACGTATTGCACGTGCGACATGACGTCGAGCAAGCCCCGTCCGACACTGTGTCAACTCCGTTCGTCGCCTCTTTCACGAAAACGTTATCATGTATTATTTTGACAGGAGCGAGAGAGATAGAGCTGCGCGCGTGCCGCTGCAGTATTGTTGTTGTTATTCGACTGCCATTTTCCTGTTTTGACTGCACACACTGTGCGCACAGTGTTTACGAAGAGCGGCAACACTGCTTTTTGTGATCTGACAACACTGCCGGGAGACTTTCGCGCGCTCTTTGAATCGTGCGAGGATCGTAAAGCCTCTTCATAGCGGATAAAATACCTAGATGTCGAAGGAAAGCTTTAGTCATGTTTTTTAAGACTTTTTCTACATTTTTTTTTTTTTTTAACAACTTTACTTGAGTTCCATTTTTTTGCTTACGTCTACGTCTCTCTTCTATTATAACTTTCTAATTCAACTGTAAAGGTGCGGAAAGGAATTGGAAAATTATGGTTTTTCATATATAATTATTTATTCATCATTAAATCATAGACGTTTAACAATACAATCACGCTTACACATTTATCTTTTTCAGTGCTATACGCTTTCGTTCACGCACTCCACTGACACATAACAATTCTGAATTAGCAATTACGCTCAAGCTTTCTCTCTCTCTCACTCTTTTTCTCACTCTTACATAAGATTCGAATATTTTAACCATGAACCGCTATAATCTCATACCCTTGTGGTAGTTTTTTTACTTCTCAATAATTATTGTACCGTAGCTATGTGCCAATATCTTAATTGTTTCTCAAGTAATATAACTGATCGTATACTGCAAGCAGATTGCCATACTGTTTATTTATTTTCTTTGGCTAACTGTGCTGAACTTTTCGTTAAATTTTTCTTTTTCAAATCAACGGAAAAAGATTTTTTCAACACTATATAATATTTTTATATGCATTGTAAGGAAATAAAATAACACCTATTCGCCTATGATCGTACAATATTTCATGCACAGACACGTATACGTATTATCACATAAAACGCGTGGCAATTTTGTGTGCGACGACAGATATGACAATGAAACGACACACCACGACGAAAAAACATCGAATTTATCGTTCGTTTTATTTATTTATATATTTTTTCGTTTTTTTTTCTTTTTTAATTTTTTTTTTCATAATTCAAAGTAAAGGCACGAGTATTATTCATTCATCTTTTTTTAACAACTTTCTTATGAATTATTATACAATAAATAAATAAATATATTATATCTGTGCGATCGCGTGGCGATTATATACGGAAAGGAAACATGTAGACATTGTATACATTTATCCAAAAACAGACGGTTTTTTGCATGGCAACATAATCGATGCATATTTAAGCTTATAATAGCCGAGAAATACTTTCAAACTATCGCCAATATTATCGCAAAGAGTCAATAAACAATATATCTATGACACGCATAACGTTATTATTATTATTGGTTTCACTTTTGTATCAATTCTCTCGCATTCGCATGTATAGCCTTTGTGTATCAAATGTAGAGAAACAATTGATATATATAATCTTTCGTTTACCATCAATGTGGATACAGATATATATCTCTTTTTTTTCGTTAATTTTATTTATTCCAAAAATAAATTCATTCGTCGATTGTTAAATCGTAAGTAGTAATTATTTTATACATTTTTTACACCCACGTTACATACTGCTCTTTTTCTCGTTTTTTACCAACATTTAATAATACGTATTTCATAGTACGACTTTTCAATCGTCTGGGAATTATATTACACGAACGAATTGACGCCTCGTCAAAAACAGCTTTAAAAACAAAAATCGATGAGCTCTATGATACTAACAATTATTTACAATGATGTATATGCGAACATCAAAAGTGCTCGTAAAATGAATGTGAAAAATTTTTCGATGGCCTTTTGTCGTATTGAAAAATTCAATCATTCAATTAAATTAAGCTTTAGCAATGTGCGTACGGCTTTCGATATGGAGTGTGTAGGTTTAATATATATTCGTTATCTGTTCAATAGCTTCGTTTGTTCTTTTGGCATGTAGCAGAGTCGTGGAAAATTGGGGAATATAATAATTATATATCTTATCTTCACAAATGGCTCATTTTTTCGATGCAGCGCAGATATACAAACGTTCATTTGAATAAAAAATAAGCTTTTTTAGAAAAAATTTAGCGTAGAAAAATCATTTCACGTGATATATATGTCTGCATATATCTATATAAGTTTTACCCAATTCTCTCATTTACATTCGTACGACCCTCATGACACGGTAATCTAATTTTCGCAGCAAATCTGCAGGCTTAGGGGTCGACGGCTACAGATCGGCCTCCTCCGGTTTAGCTTTGGGCGCGACTCTCTCCTTCGGGGCGGCTCCGTGAACCTCGGCAATTTCTACTCGCTCGGGTGGCACGGGCTTGAGCGCGCCCTCCTCCTCCGCGACGTGAACGCCGATCGCCAGTCCAATTTTCTGACTCGCCTGCTTGAACTGGTCGGCCAATTTTACCTGTTGATCGAGTCATTTTTTATTATAGTTTCTCGTATTTTCTCGAAAAAGTTGCCAACGAAGCTTTGATTTGAATTCATTAAGAAATCAAAGCGAATCTTCTATTATGCACTATCCAATTAAAGCTTCGTATCAACAATTACGTAATGCTTCATAGAACGCAATAAAAAATAAATCTAATTAAGAAGACGATAGCATGCTTCTGAAGTATTCATACCTGGACAACATTGATACACATAGACGTCAAGGCTAGACCGAAGATTAAATATACAATTGACAGCATCATGTAAAGAGGATCCTACAAAAAATTAAATTTAAAAACGCCGATTAATTAAGAACGATCTAAATTTAAATGATAAATTTTTCTAGTTCATGCAGGAATTGTCAAGTTGTTGAGTAATGTGTGCATTATTGATTGGTGGTTGGATGGGAAAGAGGACTTTGATAGATTTAACAAGGATATAAATTCTAATGTTCGACATCTTACCCTCTTTAAGTCATCGTTTTAAGAAGCAAAGAAAACAGAGAAAATATTTATCGTCTATCCACACAAATAATATAAAATTTTGTCCTTTAAAAATGTTTTTTCTAAATAATTTTTCTAATATACTATAAGAATTGTCTAAAATTCTCTATAAACAGCTAAATTTTATTAGAAGAAGAGTTTTCGCTTACCTGGGGCACAAAATCACCGAATCCAATGGTACTCATCGATATGAACACAAAGTAGAAGCTCTCGAAAAAGGTCCAATCCTCGAATATGTTAAATATGACCGCGCCGATGATGATGTAGAGCACGAGTATGGTAATGGCCACGGATATGGGCAGATTGAACTCGTCGTCGATCTCGAAGGCCGACATATCCGGAGTCGAGGGCGACTCCGGCGTCTGCTGCGGTGTGTTCCCGTCGACGCTCAGCGACGTGTGATGCGGGTGCTGCTGTTGCTGCTGCTGCTGCTGTTGTTGCCTGTGACGCTCCATCTCGACGATCTCCTCGTCCGTCATCTGCGAGGGCCGTCTGAAGGACGTGGACCAGTCGTAGACGAGCTGCACGCCCTTCATCATCTCCTGCATGTGGACGGTGCGACGCACCTTGCGACAGCTGCCCGTATAGTAGAGCCTGCGCACGAACGCCCAGAGGAACTTGATGCCGCGCGTGAACAGCTTGCCGAAATCCGCCAGGACGATGAGGAACATCGGGATGCCGAAGATGGCGTAGACGATGGTCAACGCACGACCGGTCGATGTACTCGGCGAGATGTGTCCGTAGCCTGGGGGACAAAAGCGGGTACTTAGTACGCCACATAAATAATTAATCATCGTCGCTTGGAATAATCGATCGGATCGTTCGCATAAATACATCTATTTTTTCATTGCATAAACACATTTTCCTTATGCACTATGCATGGGGAGTTTTTGCGGATAATGGTCGCACCGAGCTCGCACACGAAACTTTGTATATTTACGAAAAAGGGAAAAGTCCGTCGAAAGTTGATGCGCAAGTGCGAGTGAGGGTAGAGAGAGAGAAAAAAAAGGGAAGTTTAGAATACGGCTTTTAGGAGCTATTTGGCAAACGTTTCAAGGTTCAAACTTTCTGGCGCCTCGTGTTGGCTCTAATTATCGTTCGAGTATGTATATTGTGAAAGTATATACATGCGCGTTTGACAAAATTGAAGCCACACTCGAGGATCACGATCGTAAAAAAAAAAAGATCGTGAAAAAAATTTCTCTTTAATAATCTGAAAGGAAAATTTTCATGTATAAATTAGTCTGCAGCGCTCTGCAGCGTCCTTTTTTTTTGTATCTCACCAATCGTCGTGACGACCGTGAGACTGTATACCACGGAATTGAGAAACGACCAGTTCTTCATGCCGCTGTAGGACGAGACGCCGGCCTCGTTGGCCGCGTGCAGCTGCTCCTCGAACGCCTTGAGCTTGCTCCTGGCCAGGCTCTTCCAGTCGTCCTCCTTCATGTTGTGGCTGAAGTTCCAGAGGCTGTCGAGAAAGTCGCGCTTGACGCGTTTCACGCCGCACTTGTAGAACGACTCGAAGGCGCCCTCGGTGAAGCGGAAAGCGAAGCCGCCCAGGCCGCAGAGTATCAGCGTGATGATCGTCTCGACGATGCAGAGATTGCGCAGCTCCACGAGGATCGCGACCTCGCGAGGATTCTGCTGGCAGAAGGCGCGAAACTCGGCCGTCACGAAGATGAGCGAGCGGAAGAAGTCGCGAATGGTGACTTTTTCCGGCTCGTTGGATATCACTTGCTCGATTTGCTTGGATTTTTCTACTGGCTGTGGATGGAGAAAAAGAGACCCTTATCAACGAGCTCGTTTGGTTTGGGATCGATGCCAACGTACCGGTGCTGGCAATTTTTCCTCCTTTATCTTCTTCTTGTCCTCCTCTATGAGGTCTTGAACTTTTTGCTTCCTACTCCCAAAAAACGGAATCCACGACCACCAGCTGGACTTTGGGGTCGTCAGGCTCTTTCCGATGTCCTCCTTCTCCTGATCGGTGTGCAGAACGCTGGGCTTCCTGCGTCTCAGAGCGCTACTACTCGCTCCGGCCTCGCGCTGTCTGCCGCGCCTCGGCGCGTAATCCTCGTCGTCGTCCTCGTACTCGTACTCGTAGCTGCGCTCGCGATGCGAGTAGGCCCTCTTGGCCCTGGCCACGTCCTCCATCAGTCGATTGTCGCTGATGGGTATTATCTGCTTCTTCATGGGCGATCGCCGATGCTGCACGGCTCGCGGCTGCTCGTCCGTCTCGTCCTCGTCGGAGTAGCGATGACGGCTGCTGGCGCGTCTTCTGACGCCACCACTGCGAGAGTCCGACAGATCGTCGTCGTACGGATCCTATGTATTTTTAATGATAGAAAATAGATTATCGATGATGTTTCGATAGTAATTGGATCGTTATAATGTTCCGCGTGTGCGTAAGAGATTCGTCGATTGTTACCGATGACGCAGAAGTCGGCGACAGGTGCCTGGCGCTGCTAATTCTAGCCGTGTCCGGGGAGCCCATCCTTCGCCTTAGCTCGACGTTCTCACGGTCGTTTGGCCTTTTGTTGCTGCCGTTGTTGCTATTTCCGGGCTCGGGCGCCCTTAAGGGTGACGCAGATCTCCTCGGTAATTTTTCCTTAACTTCGAACTCGGATTTTTGCTCCGATCTATTTTGATGCGACACGTGACAAAGGAATTATTTTTTTAATTGGCATCAGCCGTGGAATTCAGGCGTATAAAAATGGAGCAAAATTGCAATTATCAAATAGCGAACATTGCTGGTGCGTGGGTATTATACATGGAGAGAAAAATTTTCCCTTGACATAGCAATTAAACGATTGAAATGCGCTCTCGATATCAGTCACGCGATAATTCTTTTATATTATACATCTGCGCAATACTTTTTTTTATTACTATAAAAGAATCAAATATAAATTTAATACAACCAGCGATGAAATCTGTCACGGAATTTCATCTAGCCAGAGAGAAATAAAGAGAGCTCTGTACGACTCTCGACAACGCGTGAAACATAATTCGATCCGGGGTAATTGCCAAAACGTTCGATATATGATAATTGACGCACAATTCTCTAAGCATTAAATCGAATCGAAGCGAAAGCAAAAAAGAGAGACGGAGACCTTCTAACAGCCGGTGACATGGCTCTGACCTTGGCTGGTTGGGGCACTACTACTTCCGCGCGCTCCTCCATGCGCTCCGTATCCTCGACCATGCGCTCCATCTTCAGACGACGCTGCTCCTCCTCCTCGTCCTTTTCCATGTCTACGTCGCCAGCCTCTTCCTCGGTGAGAACTTTTTGTTTTTTATCCACCGGTTAGAAATTAAAGAAAATTGCGTCAGTCGGTGAAATTTTGGAAAATGTGAGAGCGTGTACGGTCGGAAGCGCAAGTATCACAATTCAACTGCTTGTATTTTCGTTTTACGTATACGATGGACGGGCGAGAGCGGACTCGCTCGCGACTCAACTATTTCGAGATCGCACTTATCGTATACAATGTAAATTAAAAATACACAGCAGTTGAACGATGCGTCTGTTATTTTTTTTTCTTTTTTTATTACTTGGTAATGGTTGGTTATAATTGTCACTCATTATCCGATGCAATGTATCACGTGCTGCGCGTGCCCCGCAAGCTTCAAAAGAGAGTCACACTCTTCTATAATTTCAAACTTGATATAATTTATTTACACGTGCGCTGGAAGAAGAGAAAAAAAAATAGCCCAGCGCAAAAATTCAATTCACTCCGGTAATTAAAACGAACGAAAATTTAATCTCTCGAGAGCGTTAGTGAGAGCTGGTACGCGTGCACACGCGCCGAGCATTGCTTAATTATATATTAACGACCCGATGCGCCTTCCTTTTTGGCGCATTAATATCACAAAACAGCTTCGATGTTAGTCTTTGTAAATTATAATGACCCTCCCCGAGCGTATGTACTATATATTATAAAGCTTCACATTCACGTCACACTGCTCAATTAATTGTAAATAGTATCGAGGGAGGTAAAGTATTAAAAAAGCAAAAACTTGAAAAATTAATTCAAAAAACAAACTTCGATATGCACACACAATTAAGATAAAATCTTCACTCTTCTTCTACCGAGGGCAGAAGTAACAGCAGCAGCGGCGGCAGCGCAGCTCCCGCGAAGCGTGGCACAACACTGAGCACAATAGACACAGAGAAGTGAAACAGCGCGAGCGTCCAAAAAAAAAGTATATATACAGTAGTGGTAGAAGAAAAATCACGAGGCACACAATTGTTATTTTATCTGTATAGACAGATCGAAAAGCGAAGTATATAGATGTGTGTATTTACGATCTATAGACGACGAGCGGCTGCTCGGCTCGGGCGTCTTTTGGCGTCGTCTAGCTGCGGCCTTGCGACGCCGGTGCACCGTGTAGCTGTCCTCCATCTCTCGGTGCGTCGACTCGCGCGCTCGCCTCGACGCGAAAAAGCTCGAAATAAACCTACACTCGGCCCGAGCTATATTATTACACACACACGCACATGACACGCATACACGCAGAGACAAACTCGAGCCGTTCGAGCTCGCACGTGTGTATGTAGGTACATGTGATACATACGTATATGAGCAATTCTCTAAATGAAACGCATTTTTGGAGGTAGAATCGCGTCAAATTTTTTTTTCAACCTACGCGGATACGAACCCCCGGGAAATGTTTTTGGGGGTCCTAGGAACATGTAACCACGTAGGAACCATTGAAATTTCAATAGTGCTTACTTTTATAGCTACTTTTGTGATTTAGAGGACGAAAAATCATGTTTTCTCGTAAATGCGGCTAGTTACTCAATTTCTAAGTCACTGAAAAAGTATGAAAACTCATTTAAAAATAATAACTGGCCTCTGTGTTCGATAGAAAATTTTCTCAGCTTTCCAATGGTGCTATCAGATTTTCCGACAAGTCGCACATTCACCGAGAAAATCGCCATCAAACGGGCCAAGCTAAATATCTCAAAAAACTCAGTACGGTAAAAGTGATCTTAGATGTCTATTTTTGATTTTTCCTGTTGAAAATGAGATTTTTCGGAAAATCTGACAGCACCATGAGAAAGCTGAGGATATTCCCTATCGAAATCATATCTTCATTTATTTTTTCAGTGGAATTTCGAGCTAGTTTTGATTGTAGCGAGCCAAAAACCTCGTGACCGCGCTGAATCAGCTCGGAAACAGAAAACAGCGAACAATGTAAAAGAAATTCCCATGTATAACATTGTGATTCGACTCAAAAAATAAATGAAGATATGCTTTCGATAGAAAATTTCCTCAGCTTTCTTATGGTGTAGTCAGATTTTCCGATAAATTTCATTTTCACGAAGAAAAATCGAAAATAAACCTCAAAAATCACTTTTTCCGTACCGAGTTTTTCGAGATATTTAGCTTGGCATGTTTGATGGCGATTTTCTCGGTGAATGAGCAACTTATCGGAAAATCTGATAGCACCATTGGAAAGCTGAGAAAATTTCCTATCGAACACAGTAGCTAGTTATTTTTTTTAGATGAGTTTTGATACTTTTTCAGCGACTTGGAAATTGAGTAATTACCCGTATTTACGATAAAACATGATTTTTCGTCCTCTAAATCACAGAAGTAGCTATAAAAGTAAGCACTATTAAAATTTCAATGGTTCCTACGTGGTTACATGTTCCTAGGACCCCCAAAAACATTTCCTGGGGGTTCGTATCTGCGTAGGTTGAAAAAAAAATTTGCCACGATTCTACCTCCAAAAATGCGTTTCATTTAGAGAATTGCTCATATACATTGAGTACATACGCGCGAAATGCTTTTTGGTATATTTTTGACATATCTCGCACTCGCGGCGACGAATATCGGAGGAAGTGGGAAAGAGAAAACATGGATCACGGGGGGAGATAGAAAATTGCACCGCGTGCGGTGGCGTGTACAGAATATTTTTAGGGACGTACGTTATTTGGTTATTTTCATGATCGAATAATACACTTTTTTTCCTATTTTTATCTATACCTATATAATACTGACAAGCTCTCCGTATTTCTGTTTCAGATCTACAAAGTACCTGAGCCAGCGCATATACATCGTCGCCGCCAGTGCATCAAACACACGCGCAATCTGCGTTTGGATCATCGCTTTAATATTACATTATTGTTTCTAAGCACGTTTGATGGTGCAAACAAATCGAGTCACGCATCAAATTTAGTCTGCATCGACGTAACGATAATTATGTTAATTTCCTGCATGATAGACCTAGATAAGGCCTAGGATTGAAACCCAACGAAAATAAGTACAAATAATTAAGTCGTGCGTATGATTAATTGAATCAAATCGACTTGATGTAACTCCTAAGATAGCATCACATTTTAGTATAGTCAAAGAGTTTTTTAATACATGCAAAACTTTTTTCTGCTAAAGCACGAGTGGAGCGTGAAAAGAGTTTTTTTCTATTTGCCTAGAAAAATTTTACTTTAAAAAATATTTTTATACGAAAAAGTTTTATACATTTTTTATTCGTGGAAAGCTTATTTACATATTCACTACCACCGCATTCATATTTACTGGGCATATGTTAATTGTACATAAACTGAATAATTTTTTTTTATTAAATCTTTTATACATAAAAAACTTGTTTTGTTATTAACATACTTTTGTACTGTCATACACAAAAACCATAATTCATGAGGAAATCTGCAATAATGTTTCAATTGATGCGGTACGATTCAAATAAAAGCATTGGATCGCGCCCATTCGACAGCAATATAAAATCAATCATGCGTACCGTAGCATCGGTAGCGATTGCATTCACCGAACGCATATAATATATAACGTTGCAAAGAAAGTCCGACATTATCGCGAAAATTCTCAATGAAACACGCGCTCGTATGTATTAATACACCAGGCTTCTTATCAATTTTCGTTTAGACACGCCGCGTATGTGCACACTGCATTGGAACGCCGTATGCGGAGGCAGTTCGAGTTACCCGTTCATTTACAACATGTTCGAGCTGCCGTTAACACGCGTATTTTTATTTAGAAAATGAAGTTTGTCTTCGTTTTGTCGATTATCACCGCAGCCGCTGCTGCTTCGTCGTCGTACGCTAATTTATTGTCGGAAGCCGCCAGCGAGCCCGCGGGTAAGTATAATTTGTACGTGTGCGTACATAACATTTTAGCACCTATGTATACCAGCATAATTTATCAAAACGTTATTATCGCGATATTGGGGCTCTATTAGGGAATTACGGCGAGAGAGAAGATTTTCACGAATACAGCGAGGGCTTGAAACGTTGGATAAACTCGACTCAGCTTCCTGGCGTGACGGTAAGAGATGGAAAAAAAATACAATGGCGCTTTGTGCATGTACATAACAAAAATTTTCCGATCGGATATTAAAGCGCACGACGTCTGTTACAGATAAGCTTCGTGCTGAGTCGATGAAAGAAGGTAAGCGTTAACACGGCATTGCCACGGTGAACATGAAGTGAACATGCGGCAAATTGAAGCAGCGGCAGCAAAGGAATCAAATCCGTTTGAAATCTCCGACTACCGACCTATCCGTGGGTGCACTCGCTTGAATCCACATCGAGCAAGAAGACGACGTTTACGCGCGTTATAAAGCCCGGTCGTCAACACGGTGCTAGTTTATCAGTGTTATTACGTTTGTCGAAGCTTTTCCCAAATAAATGAATACTGATGCAAGAAATACCATTACGTTATTATAGGAGAGCGTCGATCTCTACGAGCAAATATTTACCCTCGATTCATTCGAAAAAATATAAACTTGCCTGGATGCGGCGAAAGTGATGAATTATGTTCTCAAAGATTCGCTAGAAAAAGTGTGTGTGTGCGCGCGCTCTTGGCTGCTATACTGATACTATTGCCTCTGCGCAACCCATAAATAAATATATTTCGACAATTTTAAACTCTTTTCTCTCTATTGCCTCGTTGGATAAAGTGCGTACGTGTGCTACTTTGCAAAATTAAACGTTATTGCAGCAAAGTTTCGCGGGGATCTCAATTAAGCTATAAAAAGGGAATTCAGTTTGCTTGCTTGTATACACAGCAGAGAGAGAAAGCTCCGGCTGCAGCGCTGCGTTTACATTCGAATAAGATAATAGAATTTATTAGCCTCGAAGAATTGCGCATTGCGTAAACAAGCTTTACACTCGTCGCGTAAGTTCATGACTCTACGCGAAAAGTTGCAGCATATAGTTAACCCTAAAATGTTACCAAGTTCGCTGCGACAAGCTATAATATAAAGGAAGAAGATGTCTTCGCGCTGGTGCGATAGGTATGCGCGCAAAAGTTCATAACCCACGTGCAGGCGCGCGGCCTGGCTCGCTCTCTTGTAATGTACGCTTTCTTGTTGATACATCCATTAAATTTGCAAGTCATGAGGAAATCGATCGGCCAAAGTATTTTAGTTCTTGCGGAGAGCGAGAGATAGAGAGAGTTTAAACCGGGTTTGGGTGCCATCGTCGTGTCTAATAATCGATTGGTTTAAGCTCGTGTACAGCGTATGCGTCGAAAGACAGTATAAATGAAGAAATAAATTGCGTATTCTATTAGTTACAGTTCGAGTAATACCCGGAAGTAATGAAAACAAAAATCAATTTTCATGTAAATTCCATTTTTAATTATGAAAATTAAAATCGATTTTCAATTTGCAAAATTTCCCATTAAGGTTTGAATTTTAAATTTTAATCGTAATTTCCCAATTTTTCGGTAAATTAACGAACTTGATTGAAGTCCATCATTCGATTCTACGACGTCACCAATGATAGAACTTACTCGAACCATGTGTAAATTTTGTGCTTTTATGGTTTTTATTCTACTTTCTTATGACGGCTGTTCAAGTGCAGTTCATAGAAAATTTCTGGATTTGAAAAAATTTCTTGCCAAATTAAAAATGTCGCCATATGAAACAAATCAAAACAGTCAAAATTAAAAATTAAAAATAGATTTTAATTTTCAACTTGACAAATTTCAAATTAAAAATTAAAATCGATTTTTAATATGAAATTATCCAAAATTGACAAACTATTTTTCAATTTAATTTTTAATCGGGAAATTTACCCGACAAGTGCACATGCACCGAGGCAAATTTTTAGAATCGAAAAGTCATTAAGCTCCGTGCATAATGTAGCGCATGGATGCGCCATTAGTCGAGCGAGTGCATATCAGAGAGAAAGATTGAGAGAGAGAGAGAGCGAGAGGATTGCTGATACGTGCAAAACTGATGCCACTGCTACAGTCAGCCGAGTCTAAATACACTCAAACACCGGCACGAGCTTGCACACAACGATTAAACGAACTAAAACACGCAATTATGTACACGTGTGAGCGGTTGCTGTACGGGAGGGCTGTCATAGATTGCTCGAACGCCCTGAACTTGCAAGAGAGTAAGTAGTCGAGACGAGCCTCGGCTCTTGTTAAAGAAGGATGTAGCGAACGCGTCTTGTTAGAAGTTGAAGCTTTACTCAAGCGCATCGTACGCCTACATAATGCTCCCGGAGAGATTCTCCGCGAGCTTGCACGAGAGGGGCTTTTGAGAGCCGAGAAGACGCAAACAATTTTTTTAACGATAATTATAAAACACTTTCGTTTGGCCCAATTTTCGGACGCTTTTATACATAAAAGATCGCCCAGCTGATCTTTGCAAGCTCCGGCTTCAATGCGCACTCCTTCCTCGGTGAAAATAATAATCATAATCATAATAATAATCTCGTCTTCGCGCGCGCGTGAACAGCGACCGAGACTCGGCTCGACGCCGTTCTACGTGAACTACATTCTCGATTTTATTTCCAGAGCGTGGCACTTAACCGAACATATATTCTCTCTCTCTCCTCTCTCTTTTTTTTCCGCATATACACGCGCGGCCGCTTATACTAGGCGCCTCGCGCGCGATTCTTACTCATACTCCTAACCGTTATGCAAAGCCCAAAGAAGTATCCTGCGGTGTGTATGCAAATTTCGGTCGCAGTCGAATTAAGACGTTTGAGAGATAAAGAGCGAGAGATGATCGTCGGTGTATTACCTATGTATAACTATACGTAGAGGTGGATACGCTGGTCGCACGCGTGAGAGCTTTTTTTTCACGCTAGACCGAAAATGTCGAATGTAATATGTTCTTTCGGGGGGTGTGCGCAATCGATTGAAATATAACGGATGCCGATATTTAGACATCTGGGTTGCTCGAACCACGGAACAATCCACTTGTCAAGCAACAGAAAATAAAACTGGAATAAACGTTGTACGTTACATATATTCGTTCGTTCTTTTTTTTTTTTTGTTGCTTTTTCTTGTACCAGCTTACATAATCGAGACACGAATCCAGAAAACGAGGAAATGCGACGAATTACAATGAACCTCTCTCGGTGCCTGCCGCTCTCGGCGTGCGCATGTGTGCGAGTAAATATAGATTGGAATGCGAAGATTTTCACACGCGGCAGTGACTCTCTGTCTCTCTCTCTCTCTCTGTCTCTCTTTCTCTCTAACACCGCTCGAAAGCGATTGTTACGTCGGCGAATTTTCATTTCCGCATTATATTGTTCAATTAAAATTTTCGAGGATATTTTTTTTTGCACTTCTCAATTTTGGGACGTCGAGGGACAAGATTGACTGCGCGTCTCCCTGGAGAAGCCGCGTCTACAGTTGGAGAGATGGATCCCATAGTATATATACACACGTCAATCCGGCCTGGGACACTCATACATTTCCCAGGAGTGGCGATTAAGGTGTTGCGACTCAACGTAAATCACGGTATCGTGAAAGTGATTTTCACGGACTTTTCCTATACTAGCGTATATCTGGACGTAAATAAGCGTCGTTTTTCAGTTCAGTGTATATAAACTTGCAGCGCATCGATTCGACTGCACACACACATGTAGAGGAAGGAGAGAGAAAAAAAGCATAAAGGGAGTCACAGAGAGCATATGGACTGGTAGGAGGCACGCGGCCTACTTACGATATACACTCATGTATTATTATATATCGCGTTCCGAGAACGACGAAGGATCACGCAAAAATCTCATTTCCTCGCGATATATGTAATAATAAAGTTTTTTCTCTCTCTCGTGTGCTTCGAGTTGTGGAGTACGAAAGAAAAAAGAAAACAATGCAATAGGAAACTTTGACACTTGGACGTAATTGCGCCGCATGATGTGGTTAATTAGATAAAGATCGTAAAGCGTTTATACAATAATACGTAGAAAAGTTAACTTTTATATTTCTATATTAGTTTTATAAATGCAGCGTTGGTTTAGGATCAAACTCACCGATGGTCGTATAAATGGTACAGCAGTAAATGACGCCGTTCCAGAAGACCCAGTTCATGTCCTCGGGATGCGTCTGGAAGTTGAGCTTTTTCAACATACCGTAGAGGCGCTCCTCGTACAGGAGTATCTGGCCGCGCACTCGGCTGTTCCACTCGTCCTCCTCGTCCTCGGAGCTGAGCCCCCGCTCGTCCCACAAGTCTCGGATCTTACGGATCATTTCGTCCCTGCGGATACACAGCACACCCACCAACACGTACACTCACTCGTATATAATTCAGCATCGAAACAAAATTATTAACTTTCTGCTCGTTGCCCGCAGCGGCAACAGCTACAGCTGCACTCATTCTTCCACTATACGAGTTTCGAGTGCAGCGCTGCTTTTGGATTTTGCGCCGCCGAGGAGAGAGCAAAATTTTTATTCCAGCCACGCGAGGGCTCATTGATTTTTTCCCTTCTTCTCTTTCTTTCTCGCTTCTTGAAACGCGCCAGGGCGGCTCTCTCGTTCTTTTTCCCTCTTTGCTACGTGACCAGCGATAAATATTTATTGTATATATCCCCGTTGGCGAGCGAAGCGCGAAGTGCATTTGAGAGCTTCTACACTCAATGACGCCCCTTATGGCATCGCGTCGAGTCACGATTGCCTATAATTTGAGTGGAGTCTAATTAACGCGATTCTAATTGCGCTTTTATCGAATTTTTACTTTGCTGCTGCTTAATGTAATGAGAAAATAAGAAGTGAGAATTTCCTTCTTTTTTCAACTTGCGCGACGATAAAAACGATTATGCGAATGACTTCAAGTAAAACGAAGCCAAATCAACTCGGATGTACGAAATCGACTCTCTTTTTTCAAAGTTCATTCATTTTTTGCCTCGAACGAAGTAACGAATTTAATATTTACCTTTCATGCGAAGTCGAAGAAATGCAATGGAAATAAAAAGAAGTACGCTAGATTTCTCCACGGAATTAGTTATGAAATCAATTTAAATTGACCCGATACGTTGTATAGCGTAGCAGCTAGCCTCGATATGCCGCTCACGAACGAGGAGCAAATAATTATGAGCTTGCGCGTCGTCGTCGTCGTCGTCGTCGTCGCCTATGGTCCACGTGGACGCATTTCTCCTCGTGATTTATATATTATTTTCATTCGTTGGGCTCTCGTGTAATAAGCATAAATTCGAATTAGACTCTTCCGGCTTAATAAACGGAAAAAAACATCGTTACGGCAAGTGAGTACGATCGAAAGCATACGCGCGCGCATTACTATAACTCGCGTTACGTATATCTCATTCGGGTGAAAAATGTACTTCGTGCAATAATCGAGCAGAAACATAATTACCTATGCGTGCCGCAAACGAAAATGTCCTGAGCGAGCAGCAACGAACGAACGCGCCGCGCGTGCATACCCGAAGGAGGAACAATTAAAAAGTTGCTCACCCTTCCCCGAAACTTTGCAACTTGACTAATGAAGTCTATAATTTTATTCGCGGTTACAGAAAAAATACAGCTTTTTAGACGCGCTGCGATGATTTATTATAAAAATTTCCTCATCTTTTTATTTTACTTTCTGTAACTTTACTACGTATATATCAGAATTTGATCAAAGCTTGCGGTTTACCTCTCTCTCTTGATTTCATCTTGTATATTGCTCTCGTATTTGCCCTCGATGCTGACGAAGAGCCAAGCGCCGAGTAGACTGTAGACAAACAGGACGAAGCATAGAAACGTGTGCGTGAACCATCTCTTGCTCCACGAGCTGACCTAAGATCGTATTATATTTTTGTCTGCTGATTGTTTGATTTTTCCTCGCCCGTATCTTTATTTCTTTCAATATTTTTTTATCGTCAATTCGCAAGAGCCGCACACGTTCATTAAATACGAACCTTTTCGTAGATCCAGAAGGCGCATTTCTCCCCCACCCTCAATCCGCTCTTATTCCAGTGTTTGAATTCCTTGAGATGAGCGAAGACCGAGCCGCTCGGCCGCAAGCTCGGAAACACGATGGTCGTCGGGCGCTGTGGCTGCTGCTGCTGGCCTTGTTGGCACGCCTGCTGTTGATGATGATGATGATGCTGATACTGATCGAGCTGATTATTGTAATTGGAGGCCGCCGACGAGCAGCTACCCTGTGTACCGTAAGCCGCGCCGCCGCTGGTCACGTAAGCCGTCATGAACTGGCCCGGCAGCGTGGCGTTGCGCTGCTGCTGAGCCTTCAGTCGAGCTTTCAGCGCCGAGGCCGACTCCACGGAGGATCTGTCGAGGCTGCGCCGGGACTTCCACGACTTGGAGGACGAGTGACGACGCTTGTGTCATACGCTCAGCAGCATGAGGCGTTTGTTGCCACCGCCGCTGTTGTTGTACCTCGTCGAGGCCGTGGAGCACGGCGAGCCGGACGTGATCGCCCCGCTCGGCTGATCTGTATTATTAGCAGTAGCTGATATAGCTGCTGCTGCTGCTGCTGTCGTCGTTGCTGGCAGCAGAGGCTCCTGCTGACGCTGATGCTCCTCATCCTCGTTATTAGCCAGGTTCTCGACGTCCGAAGATTCTTGATTAAGCTCGCTCATTATTTATATTGCCAATCCTGCGACGGTTCGCATAATATAAAGAGCTATACTATAGCACTTTTATATGGCAACGACGACGACGACGATGAAAAGAAAATATTCACTCAGCGCAGCGAGTCGCGAGATGTGTTTATATACAATGGGAACGACCCTGGCGTATACGTAATTGTGTTTTATTCATGAAATGCTCTTTACATTACGTTCCGACGTAGAAAAAAAACGAAACATAACAACGTCTCTATGTAAACTGCCGTTAATTAGGACGCGACGTGGTAACGAAAAAAAAAGTACACCAACAGTTAACTGGGTCTGCACGCAGAATATCGAATGCATGTGCAAAACTTAACTGGGGGAATCGAAATTTCATCAATGATGACACGGATTTGCTGTGAGTGTTGCGTGACGACGCGAACGTAGTCGGGGTGGGAAAAAAAAAATTAAAACTGGCGCAGTATAAAATTGCTCGTGTAATATGCATGTGGCGCTGCGATGTTATCCGGCAAAATGATTTACATACACACACACACACAATATCATTTTTCGCTTATACAGCGTGTTTTTCGGTGGTTATTTGTGAGTAATTGAGATGGATGGCCACCGGGATCCTCTTTACATTTAATACCTCGATGATCGTAACGCGATAGTGTACGAGCCGGTGCATGTTAGGCTGCAGTGAAAAAAAAAAGTAGAAATCTATATTAGTACAAAAGAGATCGAAGCTCTCTTGCTGCAGCTGCTGCTGCGCGGGGACACAAAATTGGTGACATTCTTCAAAAAAAAGCTCAATGGCAGAGAAGGAGCTGGCGAGCTTTGTTGAATTTCCGCTTGGATGCCACCCTTGTTTGACTTTGTAAATAGATCTCGCGGTCGCGCGCGTTCCAAATGAGGAGTCTGATTTCTTGTTTAACGAGCGAAATTATAATGAAAAAGCGAAATTGCGTTTTACCAAGTATCGATGAGAAAGATATCAATTAAATATTTCCAACTTGTATATTTATGATTTCGATTACTTTGTGAGTAGCGTGCAGATCTTGAAACTCTCGAGATCATCATTTCCAACTTTTTACCTCGCATATAATCCGCTATAAGTTGATATGAAAAAAATTGCGGATATATTCCTACGGTACATAATCCGTGGCTCGAGTATAAAGAAGGGAAAAAAATGCAGCCAGAACACGATGGAAAAAAAGCCTTTCGGACACCGAGTACAGAGATTACGAATTATGGCAAGCTTCTATGTATATCCCGCACTCATGCATAATAACCGGGACTGTACGTGAAGCTCGTAATTGTAAAAGTTGAATGCCATTGGCTATATATTATATTAGCCGTACGTATTCGCAGCGAGTTTCCTCGTGGTGGTTCCCAACGTGCAGCGTATATATAGCTAAGGTGAAAAGCTAGCCCGAATATCGAGCGAAATTCTCTGCCGCCGCCGCCACGCGTATATAGAGATAGAGGAGCTCTAGGCCTGCTGCTACTGCTCTGTGTTTTAGTGGGTTATATATTCGCGCGCGCTCATCGATCCCCCGCAGCATGGCACATTTAATATAGCGCCTTTAGCTTCTAGAGAGAGAGAGAGAGAGAGAGGATCAGATCGGAGCGCGTGATTTGATTATTCTGTACGCGCTCGCGCGACGCGCCATGCTACGAGCGACGTTTAACGAGACGTGATGTGTCCTCGTCGTCGACCTCGTCGTCCTCGAGCGCTCACAGTTTTAGTAACGATTTACAAAATTAACATCAGCTCGAGAAGGCGATTGTTGAACGAACGCGGAAATCGGACAAAAGTCTTTTCATATCCTGTCCTGGGGAGCAAAGAGCAAAAGCTCGACGGCGAGAGAAAAGGTGAGAGAGAGAGAGAGCTGTGCACATGAACTTTTAGGTTCAAAGTTGAACAGACGCTCCGAGAGTTATACGTGTATAGGTGTGCATGTACTATGTATGCGCTCTTTTAATGATGCATGAAACTGCTGCTGGCGGGCGGAAAAGGTAAAACGCTGTAGTATATTCGTAGTGTTCGTAGTAGTAGTAGCATTTCGCGAGAGGCAAGAAAACACGTTAACTTTTTCAATTAAATCTCTACTCTTTTCTATTGTTGTTGCCGCTGCCACTGCTGCTACTGCTGCAGATGTCAGCAGTTGAAAGTGACAAATGTGTCTGGGATTTCGCGCGCCACTTGTGCCAAATATTTTACCCGTTTAAATTAAAGAAATACAAGATCTTGAAACGAAATAATCAACGCGATCCTCGTCGTCGTCGTCGTCGTCATTACCAACGGAAACAAAAACTTGAACACATTGAATAGGCTGAATTGCACTCACCAAGCACCGCGCACCAACACCAACACCAATAACGAACTCTCGTCGAGTCACAGAGAAAAAAAAGCACCGTTACACATGTGACGATGATATATATCAAATATATATATAATATAAAAACCGAAAGCCGCGGTACACCGAGAGCTCGCGCAGAAAAAAGAGAGAGAGAGAGAGAGAGAGCAGTTGCTCGCGTTAAGGCTTCGTAGCGTCGACTGGCGATCAGCGAGCAGCACACAGTGTGCCCAAACGCGTTTATTTCAACCACGTTTCCACCCCCGCGCAGAGAGAGAGAGAGCCGCCTCTCTTTCATATATAGCACATGTAGCTAGCAGCAGCAGCATAGAGCGCTCCAGTACTCCAGAACTCAGTAGTAGTAGTCGCTCCCTCTTTCGCTGCACACGTACAGACAGATGCTGCTGCTGCTGCTGCGCAACGAGGCCGTGCGCGCGTAATATACGTGCAGAGGGCTATATGGATTCGTTTGCATCTCTCTTGTCTATGCTGAATCCCTCTTTATCTCTCTCTCTTTGTTTGTTTGTTTGTTTGTTTCTCTCTTTTCTCTCAACCCGGACGTGCCGTGTTATGCCCCGGCGAATCTTAGCTCTGCGAGTCAAGTGCCAAAGAGAGAAGCTGACTGACAGACAGTCAGAGAGAGAAAGAGAGGGATGGTAGTTTTCATCGTTATGTTATCGTGGAGGCGATGCATACGTGTTAGGCCTTAATTAGGGCTTTGCCACGCGCTCGTGCGAGCTTTATCGTCCGTCAGTAATTCTCCGGGCACACACTTCGTGATAATAATGATGACGACAAGATGATAGCTTTCAAATTGACGACGAGCAAAGGGACAAGAGGATTGCTATTGATGGGCTTTTAGCGCTGCTAATTAGACGCCCAGATATTCCGGCTAATTTCGGCTAATCTCCACTTGTTGATCGTCCTCGATGCGCCTAGCACTTCCATTGAAACACCCTCTGAATTGAACGTAATTTGTCAAATCCATGGCAAGCTGGAATTATTCCCGTCGTGTGTATATCTGCTGGCAAATGCGCAAAAATAACTGTCCGCCCATAAGTGGACGCGCTTGCAGCTCGTCGTTTTTTGTGTTCGCTGCGCAAATCGAATGTCACTCTCGTTTTAACTTTCAACTCGCAAACGCAGTATCGCATAAATCGCGCGCAGCTTCTTTCTGCCGGCGGCTGGACTGGCTAATCTCGTATAAAAACTAAAAATCAACCAGCTGGAAAAGGTTAAAAATAAAAATCTTCTCGCAAATAGAAAACCTATGTGTTTTTTACTGATTCGCTAATTGGATATCGTCAGAGTGTGCGTAGCGACGGGCCTTGAGAAAAGAAAACTGCGCAAAAAGGAGGATAAATTCTACAAACTAATTATTGTTCTACAAAAAGCAAAAAGCAAAAATCGATTATGAAAAGGTACGTTTAAAAGGTGTATCTCCGAAGGAAAAAAAGAAATGGGTTAACAGGAGCATAGCAGCTGTGCGCACGGGCGTATTGTACAATTCCATATACTTGTAAGGGCAGCGTAGTAGAAATACGGCGTTTTGCTCAGACGCTCTCGGGCTCGGTAGCGCGCTCCAAGGTAGTACCTTATGCACGCATAATATATAATATTTCTCTCGTGAAAATTTCTTTTTCCAGTCCTTTATGCAATGAATTGCCATCAAAATCGCGCGCCAATGGAAATTCCATTTTATTGTATGTTCGCTGGGTTGACTCTTTAAAACATAAAATCTTTCGAAGCAATACGAAAGAATTGACGGGTAGCTGCCTATATAGGTAAAAAACGAGTATTAAAAGCCTCGATATAACGCACACAATATAAATGTCGACCTCTGGGGCGCGCGCGAACTCGGGCGAAATCTTACAAAGAACATGGTGATACGCATCGAACAAAAGTTCGAACGTATACGCCGCGTGGAAATTTTCCCGCAACCGTTGCAGCTTTCTACCGAAGAAAATTGCGCTCGTTCGAGCTTAAGTTTTGTATTATATAGCGCTGGATACATTGTATCGCCGACGTGGGGCCGTTTCAATGTGTTTATGCAATGAGCGAGGGTGAAAAAAAGGGGGAGATTCAATTTTGCAGTCAACTCCCGATCACTTTACCGATTGTCGTGTAAATTGTACTGCAGTAAATGGCGGCGTTCCAGAATGCCCAGTTGAACTCGTCCGACTGATAATTGACTTTTCGCAGCTTCTCCTCGTACAATAGAAGATGATTTTTGGCGCTGATTTTCCACTTATCCACGTCGTGCGACAGTTCCTGGTCGTTCCAAAGATCGCGTATCTTTTGTAACATGTCGTCCCTGCAAAAAAATTCAACAAAAAAAACCATGCGTCAAAAATGAAGAAGAAAAAAGGTGAACGAAAGCTCGAGCTTTGGAAAACCGGTGTGAAATTATAATAACAAAAAGTTTCACCATCCAATTTGAGAATTCAGCGACGAGAAAAGGCTCAGCCCGGTGTCGAGAGCTTGAAGCGCCCTTGCAGAATTTCGAGTAGAGAAATGTCAACGAAATGGCTTGAAGCTCGTCGGGCTCAATTGGACTTTAAAATTATTCACGTCCACGCGCGCGTGCGAGCCAGTTATACCTTCATTATGCAAATTAAAAATAAAAGCAGTCGAATAAGAGCTCCCCCGCGCATTATGTGAAATATAGATAGAAATCGTCATAAATTTAAAAACGATTTGACGACACGCGATCGCGAGGCAATTAGAGCTTGCAGCACGAGCTTAACGCGTAGTACCTTCTATTATTGCCGATCGTTTAGATCAATTAGCGCCTGAGTAACGTACACAGCTTTTACAGACCTCGAGAGCTTCTGCCAAAAAGTCGTAGCCGAAATTTATGATGGTTCGGGCCAACGCTCGGAGTATAATATACTTACCGCGGCCAAATCGGCAATATATCGATTATCGCATCGTACGTTCCGAGCCACGCGCATGCAGTCCAGCTTATGTTCATAGATCAATTTTTTTTCATTTTTATGAACGTGCACTTTTATTACCTCTCTTTTCTGATATCCTGCTGGACGATTTTTACGTTGCCCTCGATGGATATGAAGAGGAAGGCGCCGACGACCGTGTAAGCCAGCAGTATGAGGCAGAGAAATATGTGCGTGAACCATCTTTTGCTCCAGGAGCTGACCTAAGCAAGAGGTGTCGTTTAAGTCTCTCTCATTATATAGTGTAACGATATTTTCTCCAAAAAAAAAGGCGAATAAATAACGGTGCGCGAGTGTCCGTGAGCGCTGCAAGCTCACCTTAAATCACTTCTGACCCAATTCATCCTTATATCATATTCGACTAGGCGCGCATAATATTGACGTTTGCAAGGTATGTATAAAAAACGTCTTCGAGTGTATGATTAAACTTTATTCTCTCTTGTTTCATTTGATCAAAGAACGAGAGAGGAGAGAAGAAAAAATTTATTTGTTTCAAAGTCACCGGTATGTACCATCGTGTATCTTTTCTCCTTTTTATTTCCAGTAAAATATTTGAGTTGAGAAGTAGCTCTCGCCGAGCTTTATATCGGCTACATAAAAGAGAGGTATCGAATGCCTTCGTCTCGAACTTTGCCTCCTCCTTCTCCCTTGCCCCTGCAGTGCCAGTGATATTTACTATTCAACTGCCGAGCAATCTTTTGCGAAGCTCGGGGTTTCTTTTTTTTTTCAGTTTCGTAAGTTTTTGCTCACGGTAGCACACACAAAAAAAAAATAAAAAGCTCGCGCACGAACAACAGCAAGCCGTGAAACGGAGATAAAAGCTCTGCGGTTGAATAAACAAACGAGCTGCGCGTATATGAATAATAAAAAAAGTCGACGTTTGATGGGCCGAGCGTGCGATTCATGACCTCCGGGAATGCACACGTTATATACGTATTAAAAAAAACACGAAAAAAAACTAAAGTACGGAAACATAACGGGGCGGAAACTCGAGTGCGGCTAAATGTGTGTACGCGTCGGGCGCGCGCGATGATATACAGCATACGTACCTTTCCGTAGAGCCAGAGGACGCACTTCTCGCCGATGCTCAGGCCGCTCTTGGTCCAGTCCTTCAAGTCCTTGAGCTGCGTCAGGACGAATCCGTCGTGCGGCTTGTCGCTCGGATAGACGATCGTGGGTATGCCCGTGTGCGAGGTCGGCGTGAGCGGTACCGTCGTCGGCGTCTGGCCGTGAATGTACTTCGGGAGTCCCACCGGACTGGCGTACGGCCCGCGCGCTTGATGATGGTGATGGTGGGGATGGTGGGCCATGCTCGGAAAGTGCAGCTGATGCGCCACATGGGGTAGGGGTATCTTGAGTCGTGGCCTGGTCGGGAATTCGCGACGCTTCGGCACCGACGGCGACGACGTCGATTGCGTACGATTGACGGACGACACGAACGGCATGATGATGATCCTACTGTTGTTGGTTATGGGTTCACTTTCGCATCGGAGAGAACGAGCTTGCGAGAAAAAAAGGGAATAAATCCAGATTATTACAACGATCGAGCTTATTATTAAGTGCCTGGATCGGAGAGCCAAGAATTATGACTTTTATCTTCCGATGCTGCGCTCGAACGACTGCGAGGCCCTCCTCTCGAACGGAAAAACCCCGGGAGGAAATTTAAACGGAATCGCTATTGCAAAAATCATAATATCGAATTACATAAAAGACGCGCTCGCGCGCGCAAAACTGAGAGGCGGCCCGGGGTGAATGAATCATGTGCGTACTTATGTGCATGCGTGCGTGCGTGTGCGTGCGTGAGAGGCGCGCGAGCACACGTGCGTTAAAAATAAACTAGTGAAAGACAACGTCACGCCGAAATCGCATTTCGAATTTTGCTAAACGAATATACGCTGCAAGCTCGATTTTTCGCAAAACTAAAAATATAATAAAAGGAGACACACGGCGTCGACGATCGCGAAAATCTCGATGTTTTTTTTAAGCTCTCGCAGCAGCAGCAACTGCAGCAGCCGATCTGTTTGAGGAGAGAATCGCGCGAGCTTGTAAGAAAAACGAGCGTTTGATTGATCAAAATATCGGCTTGGGATTACGACGTTCTATACTGCAGGCAACGCTCGATATTTCATATCACTCCGGCAGAGCCGCATCGCAATTTTATTGCGCTTAAATTTTTCACTCTCTCTCAACCCCTCGCACCGGGAAACCCACCTGCGGG